AGACAGTACAAATGTAAATACTGGTTGGGAAGGTGGTGTGATGCAATGGGTGGAAATAAAATTGAGAAAGAGATTAGTGTGGATTGTGTGCGATCTTCACACAAACGAGTTAGGGTTAATACATTTAATTATAAGCTTAGACGGCACAACAAAATGTGGAAATAAGTGGTCAGGACTACTGGGGAAAATGTTAAATACAGCAACAAGTCTTGAAATTAATCCCAGATTTACAAAAATTGATGTTGGATCTGCATTAATTGTTCTAAGTCCTGAAGTAATAAAAGGTTTAAGTTCTGATCAGAGCTATGCTTACAGAATAACAAAAGCAATAAGGTCTGGTGATTTACCTCAGCAGTTAGCAATGCTAGAGATAGGACCTGTTTGCCATAGCAGGTGGCTCACAACAGCATTAAGATTTTGCAGGATGTGGGTTTCTTAGCGTGGCCTATATGGCACCATCCTTTAAAATTTTACATGGATTGTTGAATTTATTGTAGATGTTTATATTCCGAACTGATTTAACATAAAAGTTAAATCATGATTTAACATAAAAGTTAAAAAAGTCAAATCACACATCAGAAAGAAGAGAAGCTTACATAAGAGCCCAATTCATTAGCAGAAAGTTGATGTTTACTAATAGGAGCAAGAAAGACATGATTGAACTTCTAAGCTATTATTAAATAATATAGTTATTTTTTAATTATTATTTTTTGTTAAGCATAAAAAGTATAACATTCTGTTGTTGTTTTAATATTCAACCTATATGTTTTATATTATTATATTTAATTAACACTTAATATTTAATAGATTACTTATTATTTTAATAGAATAGCAGTGTTTTTTTCAAATAATATTAGTTGTCATAACAATTTTTATTTTTATAGATAAAAATATGTGCCTAAAATGAATTTATTTTATGAGAAAGCTTGTATTATAAGAATTACAAAAATTATAGGGCTATCTAGCAATAGGGTGCCAAACCGCCTTAAGTGTAAAAAGCCCTACAACGTACTCTGTAAAAATTACTGTATAAATAATGATTAAAAAAAATATGTATTTTGTACACAATATAAGGGTTTTTATATATTCTTATATATTTAACAAGATAAGATATTCTTATATATTTAACACATCTAAGCAAAACTTTTCAAATTTTTTTTGACTTTCGCAATAAATAGAATACTTAAAGAAATTAAAAATAAAACTGTTCAACTCTAGGCAGAAAAAAGTTATTCAAAACAGCTGAACATTTTTCTGTGGGTGCTTACCAAGTAGTTTGTAGAATAGTCACAAAGAATAAAATTAAAAACTAAAAAAAATGTAGCTAGCGCTAAAATTCAACAAAACTTAAAGTTATTTTTCTTATTTATATATAAAATCCTAATATTTTTTAAATATAACTTTTTTGAAATCAATTTTAAATGACACACAATATTGCGTCAAGCTCTCTTTAATTTTGATTTATAACATTTTTTCCGGTAAAAAAATCATTATATTGTTTTTAAAATATTCGCTTTAGAATGTGCCAGTGTGGCCGAGTAGAAAAGGCGCCAAGCCTCTTTTTTTTTTTGATTTTTTTTTTGCCGAGGTTTTTTTTCATTATTTTAAAATACAAAATACTTTTGAAGTTTTAAGAGATTATATACAAACATATGTAACGATATTATACACTTTTACAAACAAAAAGATTTTAAGAAAGCTAAAATATTATAAAACATCAAAAAAACATCACCGGGAGAAAAAATTTGTTGCGTATGTGCCATGATTGAGATACTTATGTTATTAATGTGCTCAGGTAATTAGTCCTAGTACTGATTAATGCTGAAATTATAGTGTTAGTAGTGCCCATTCGTACGTGTTTGACACGAAACTCTTGGCAGCCATCGAAACTGAGGCAGTGGCGAGAAAGAGTCGCAGAACTTTTTTTATGAGAAAACGTGAATGAAAGAGTATGCAAATATTTAACTTATGTAAACTTCCAATGATATAATGTTAAAACATGTATCAAGTTTTACAGTTTTACATTTACTTAAAAATTGGATTGCGACAATATCTTTTTAATTTTGATTTATTGCATTTATTTGCTGTTTTATGAAGTCTTTTGTTTAAATAGTATTAAAACAATATGCAAACTATTCGCCTTAGTGTCCGAAGTGCTAGTTTCTGAAGTGCATATTTAAACAAGTGCAAGTGATACTGTGTCTTTCCAAATGTTATAGAGGCAGTGAAAGATCAGTTTATATCAACATGTTATTTTGTAAAATTCAAATAAAGATTCCTCAAAGATAGAGAAATAAATCAAGAAAAAAGTATTGAAATTTGTCGAAGCATAGAAGAGTCAAAACAACTGGAAAAAAATGTCCATTAAAAAAGTAAATGAAAGCACAGAAGAAATCGACTTAGTAAATTATTTACCTTTTTTAGAAAAAGAAAACAAACAACGGATTTAAAGTCGAGATCAAGCTGAGATGATATTATAGATAAAAAAGAAAATAATTCGTTAAGTTTTCTATATGGAGATTACGATCGTAATCCCCATATCGAAAACTTAACGAATTATTTTTTTTATATATTGATGACAAAATCAAACTTTTACTAAATCAAAAGAATAATAGTTTTGAGCATATTGATACAAATTTACTAAGTCACTTCGAAATTCAAAATAATTTAATAAATTTAATAACTAACTATGAAGATATATTTGAAGGACATGGTAAGTTAAAAAACTTTCAATGCAAACTTTATGTTGACGAAAATATACAACCAGTTGCGCATAATTTACGTTGGTACCCATATTACCTTCAAAAGGGCATTTGAGCAGAATTAAAGTGATTTCAAGAAACAATCATTCATGAAAAAGTTAAAGGGCCACAAGAATGGATAAGTAATTTTGTAACTATACCAAAAGCAGATAAGGCAGTAAGGTTATGTCTTGATAGTAGAATCCTAAACAAAGAAATTAAACGCGATAGATACCCAATACCTACAATTGATTCGGTAATAGATGAAATGTATGGTTCACAAATAAATACCAAACTAGACACAAAGGAAGCCTATATTCAGTTAGAAATGGATGTCGAATTAAAAAAAATTACAAATTTTCAAACGGATGAGGAAGTCTATCGACAAAAAAGATTAGCGTATGGGATCAATAATTCATTTGAAATTTTTCAAAAAACTATGGAGCAAATCTGTGAAAAAATAGAGAGAGAGTAAAATTTTTTAGTGGCGATATTATGATATCAAACATCAAACGAACAAGGTTTATTAAGAAAATTAGAACTTTTGTTCATCAAAACACGGACAGTAGGTCTGAAATTAAATAAAAGAAAGTATAATTTTGCTCAAGTGAAAATAAAATTGTTTGGTATTGAAATATCTAAAAATGGTATTAATCCTGATCCGAAAAAAAGTGGAAGCCATCATAAATGCTAGATCACCAACAACGGTAAGTGAACTTCGAAATTTTCTTAGTTTATGCTTATATGCATCGACATTTATTAAAGACTTTAGTGTAAAGTTAACAGTATTACGTGAACTATTAAATGGAAATTCAAAACTTAAATGGGAAAAAGAACATAATGACGTTGCCAACATGCTTAAACGTAAATTATCAAGTAAATCGGTTTTGGCTTTTTACGATCCGTGCAAACAGGTTTAGTTAATTTCTGATACTAGTTATCATGCCATAGATAGAATACTTTTATAAAAAGAAGGAATATATATATATAACCTTTTCATCTAAAATACATAGAGAAAAAGTTTTTTTAAGCATTTAAATGATAGTTTAATGAATGTGTTCAAATACGCTCTATGCAAATCAAATTTTACTATATTAAATTTACCAAAAGGTATTATTATGCCTAAATTAATGAATTAAATTATTTAATTAAAACATTTTTATTTAATTAAAAAACAATACCAAAGAGTCAAAGAACAATTTGTTTACTTGTAATTATATTTTACATGTCAATTCATTATTTTGTAAATAAACTTATAAAAAGTCTGAAGTTTAATGTTATTATACACTTATTTAAAATTTATATTAAATAATTTAATTTATTATTTATAATTATTATACTTATATTGTTATATTTAACATTTACATTTAATAATTTGAAAATCGCTGGTGCTGTTCCAATCAATAAATTTACGACCTCGCTTTATTATAAAATGCCGCGCTTTTAATTCCAAATTTATTTTATTTATATCAATTTTGTTATATCAAAATTTAATTTTCTAATTTTTTATTATAAAACAGGAGATTAGGCAATTGCAAAATGTTTCTCGCCGACGTTGGTTTGATCAAGAGCAGCTGTGACGCAGTGGTCAGAGCGCTTACTTTAGAAACAAGAGATCCAGGGTTTGAACCAAACTCTGGGTATGTTTCAAAAAAACCATCAGGTTTTTTTGGGGGACTTAAAACAACAAAAAAAAAATGTTTTTTAATTGAACAATGCCCAACCTGATTAAAAAATTAGGTCAACGTGGCATCAACATCAAAGCCTTAGCTAGGCTACCCACCATCACCAGAAAGGAGCAAGGACTTAGCAAATTTAGGTAGCCAATTTGCAAATTTAGGGGCCCTTTCGCAAATTTTTAGGATTTTGAAGCCCTAAGAACAAGGAGGGGGGGGGGAGGAGCTTCCGACCGTCGCACTGATCAACGTTACCGTGTTATCAATAGAAGTCAATATTTTTCTAAATAAAAATTTTTTACATTTCAAATATATACTTAAAAAATAGTTTTTATCAAAACTATTTTTGAAAAAAAATTTTATATATTTTTTTAATATTTTTATATATTATATTTATATACATTAATATTTAATAATATAATATTTATTATTGAAACTTTTTTTATCTTAAAAATTATCAATCATAAATAAAATTAAAAACTGCAAATTAGGAAAGAAAACATTAGACAAAATAAGTAGTAATAACATGCCAAATCGGGTTTTAAAATATTCTTTGACGCCGTCACTCGGTTTCCAAAAATCTGGTGCCTAATCTGTGGTTACTTAAAAACCGGATTGACCTTTTCGTAGTTTAAGGTTATTAAAAGGGCGCAAAAGCAGTCGTAAACTTCAATGACACAGCACTAATACTAAAAAAATAATCATACATTGAGTTAAATAATAACATATAGTTTAAATAAAATGAGTCTTACTTCTGCAGGTAATAAGCTTTAAATGTAAAAATATTTATCATTAAGTATATATCGTTAAATGAATTGAAATTTTAACAAATAATACGTGTTTTTTTTTAGAAAAAAAGTGTTTAATATAAACCAAAATTTTTTATAAAAAATAAGTGCATGTATTTAATATTAGTAATACTATAGCATAGATGGAATGAAATTGTTTGGTTTTTTATTAACTTAAATAAAGTAGAGAAAAAAACATTAAAATTTGTTATAATTTTGTTAAAATGTTCTAAATGCATAAAAAATTGTAAAAAATTTTAAGTATTACTTTTTGCGTTTTTATTTGTATTTTGAATAAATCATATTTTCTGTGATACAAAGTACAATTAGACCTTTATGAGCCTCATCTTTAACCTAGTTAGAGTCTGATTTAGGGAGATCAAGCTGAAGTATTACTTTGTAAATAAGTGCATTTTTTCGGATTAAGATTGTCAAAATATCAATCAATCAATCAATTATATATTCTGGAAAAAAGATCTTACTTCCACGGTTGTTACAAATAGTTATAAAAACTAATATAGTAGTTACAGTTAGTAATCAGTTTATACTTTTCCTACAATATTTATGAAGATATAAACTTGACTAAAATGCTCAGCTTCCAGTTAAAAAATTGGTCATAATAACATCTATCATACTATTATCTTGAGTGCAAGAAAACAAAGAAAACAACAGCAAGCATATAAGAGTATAATAATATCAAATATTTTAAAAGTTGTTTCAATTTGTCTTACTCAATCAGGTGTTGTTTCTTTGAGACCAAGTATAAAGCTACTGCTAAATTATCAGAAAGTTAAATATCTCAAGTATGTGAGAAGCACTTACATTCAACTGCTGCTTGCAGTGAATCAAGTTGAATAATACTATTGTATTGCAAATATTTTATTGGGTTACTTCTATTTTCTCATACTTTCTCATATGCGATCTAGATTTTTTATCAGTAAGCACTTATTCAAATTGGTGGGAACATTTTTGAACCAATAGATGGCCTGAAATCAAGAAAATTTGCTTAGAAATTCTAAATTACTTAAATTTCTTAAAAAATCTGTTAGGTAATGTAGCAGATTAGTGGCGTAAAATAATTTTTTTTTTTTGCTTGTTTTGCTTTTGTATCATTGATTTGCTCAAAGTGGAGACTTTAATATAAACAAATGGAGTATTTATTGGCTGCATATATATATATATATATATATATATATATATATATATATATATATATATATATATATATATATATATATATATATATATATATATATATATACAACCCTCTGAATTAGAGTTGGTTTAAAAAAATTATTTCCAAAAATAATTTTTTATAATTCTTTTTGTATATATAGGAAGTTTGTTATCAGTTTTATGGCTTTTATGTTTATTTTTACAATTATATACTATATTTTATACCATTTTTAACAAATATATTTTAACTGATGATGACTATATATAGTCAAAACATGTCTTGAATAATAAAATATTTATAAATAAAATTAAAAAAAGTTGTTTTATTTTTAAAAGTATATATATATATATATATATATATATATATATATATATATATATATATATATATATATATATATATATATATATATATATATATATATATATATATATATATAAATATATATATATAAAAGCCTCGGCGGGAAGAAATGAGTGCGAGAGCGGCAAAAAGCTCTCCTAAAACAAACAGGGCGAGCCATGCGAGCTGCTTCTCTAAACAGCTCCTTAGGAGAGCTTTTGGTTTTTGTGCGAGTTATCTTTTTATTCATTAAAAAAAAATTAATTATTAAATACAAAATTTTGGTTTTATACAAGCCCAAGGTGATATAAATCCTTCTCTTTTAATGAAGGTTGGCGTTTGTATCTTTATTTAAAAACGAACATTTAATTTAAGAGATATATGTCATAGGAAGTTTTATTTTCAAATAATTTTAATTCTAGTTTCTTTTGAAATTCGTTAATTTTAAGTAAAATTTGACATGCTTTTAATAACGCATGCAAAAACCATGCTAAAACATAGTGTTTTTTTTTTGAAACTTTGTTATTTCACTTAATCGTAATGCTATTGAAGGAAATCTTTAGAAAATAAAGTGTTAAAAATGTGTTTTAAATTTTAGTAACTAACTGTTTTTTATTATAAATAAGTGTTTTCTATAATAAATAAAAACTATCAATATATATATATATATATATATATATATATATATATATATATATATATATATATATATATATATATATATATATATATATATATATATATATATCAGTGGTGTAAACTGGACTTTTAAATGTTTGAGTTTTGACACTTACAGGTATTGTGCAAACTCCAAACTTTTGTATGTTCATACTTATGTCAAATGAGAATGTTTTGCAAAAAGTTGTGGTGATTGAAGCTTGGGGACAAAAAAACCTAATTCTTAGGCCCACCCAGCCCTTAATGTGGGAGCAACAAGTTGACAAAATAATTCCTTTAGTATTTTTATTTAAGTTTATATTCATCAACGAATTTCAAATTTCATGCAATAACCTCTTAGTTTTTATGACCCTACAAAGTTTACAGCCTCCTCAAATTGAGGGGGTTAAAATTTATATGGTCATAATTTTCGAAAAATAAGAAATTATTGGATGAAATTTGAAATTTGTTGATGAATTGTTGCTCCCACATTAAGGGCTGGGTGGGCCCAAAATCTGGGGTTTTTTGTCCCCAAGCTCCAGTCACTACATCTTTTTGCAAAACATTCTCATTTGACATAAGTATGAACATACAAAAGTTTGGAGTTTGCACAATACCTGTAAGTGTCAAAACTCAAACATTTAAAAGTCCAGTTTACACCACTGATATATATATATATATATATATATATATATATATATATATATATATATATATATATATATATATATATATATATATATATATATATATATATATATATATATATATATATATATATATATATATATATATATATATATATATATATATATATATATATATATTTATTTATTATGAACAATTCAGTATGAACAATATAAAATTGTTTTAAAATAAAGCTTTATTTTAAAACAATTTTATATTGTTCATACTGATCATAAAAGATGTTTTATTGTAGACACATTTAAAAGTTTTTATGTAAAAAAAATATATAAAACAACAATAAAACAAGCATAAATCAACCTTACTGTTAACTTAACACTTAAAACATATTTTATTTTAAAAGTATAAACATATTGATAAACCTTTTGCTTTTAACTATATTTTTCAAAAATTTAAAGCAATACTTTAGAATATATGTATATTAGTATTGCTCATTTCTGTAATTGTTTTTTTATTTATATACTTTATATATATATATATATATATATATATATATATATATATATATATATATATATATATATATATATATATATATATATATATATATATATATATATCTTGTTTTATTTAGCTGGTGTAATAGCTTTACTAGATGAGCCTGAGCCAGATTTAAAAGTAAGTTTGTCTCTTAAATAAGCAATATTTACTTCTTGTATTTTCCACTTCTTGTATTTTTTAAATTTAATTATACGTGTGTTGTAGAAAAGGTAACTTACTTAGAGGAAATTTTGTGTGAAAATAACTAATTGCAGTTCAAAGGAACTCATCGTTTCAGAACATGCTGATTTTTACATATAAATTTTATACATAAAACATAGAAAATGAGGTGATTAAGGAACACAGTGACCTTGTTCGTCAAGGTTCGTGTTTTGAAGTTATAGAGTTAAGAGAGAGAGTTGTAACCACAACTAAAATAGCCTACTCGACTGTTGTGACCTTTAATTTGTAAAAATAAACCATTTAGTATAAAGTAATATTAAAAATAAAACACAACTCATAGCAGTCTAAAGGAATATAGCAGTGATCAAATACTTTAATTAAAAGAAATAGCAACTACTTTTATATCTTATTTAAATCCCCACTACGCCCCTTGTAGTACCGCGCTCAACTTGTTTCTCGTCGCAGCGGCCTTGTTCCTCAAGGTTCGTGTTTCGGAGTTATAGAGTTGATAGAGGGTTATAATCACTATTAAATAGCCTCCTCGTCTGTAGTGGCCTTCTCGGCCTTGAGGAGGTGAATAACAAAAAAAAAAAAAAAAAAAAAAAAATCTTATTCAACTACTTTTTATAAATCAAATACAATTAAATGCTTGTAATAAACTTAGAATTTAAAGACCAGAATTTATTTATTTATTTATTTATTTCTACAGCAAAATCTTTGCTAGAGTAGGATTATTGTAATCCTACTATAGTAGCAATTAGTTAATTATTTGTTTTTTGTTAAGACATATTTTTTCTTGAATTCGTTAACTGTTTTTGATGTCACTAAGTTATTTGGTAAATTATTCCAATGTGGCACTATCCTGTTGCTGAAGGAATTTTCACGGTAACTGTGTTTAGTAAACTCTTTGTACTCTTTGTGTGGTTCTCCTTTGATATTAGAAGATGGTCCTTTTAGAGTTAATGAAAAAGTTTTTGAATTTGGATGACACCAGTTTACTTTATTTAAATTTGTTTTTATTTTATAATATTGGATGAGGTCCCTTTTAATTCTTCTGGATTCGAGACTTTTTAACTTTAAAATTGATAAACGTTTTTCATAAGAATTGTGCTTGAGACCTGGGAAAAGCTTTATAGCTCTTTGCTAAACTTTTTCAAGTTTTTTTATTTCATTTTTCAAATATAGATTCCAAACTGGTGCACAAAACTCTAATTCAGGTCTAACATAAGTTATATAGTTTAGTAAAGGCGTCAATTGACCAGAATTTAAATGTTCTCTTTAGTGTACCTAGTTTTGAGTAAGCTTTATTGGTTATTGTTGTGATGTGGTCGTTCCATTTCAGATTATTGCTTTTGTTGATACCTAGGTCGCATTCCTGTGTTGTTTCATTTAATTTGATAATTGTTCCATCGTGGGTTGTTATATTTAGTGGGACAGCTTGATTTATTTGGTCAACTAACTTTTTTGATTTGGTACTGTAAACTTTCATAATTTTACATTTTTCATAATTTAATTTCATGCTCCAATTTTTTGTCCATTCAAATATTTTATTGAGATCATCTTGTAATATTTCATGATCTTTCTGGTTTTTGATTACAGCAATTAACTTTCTATCATCAGCAAATAGCTTGCAGGTTTTGTGAACTAGTTCAGGCATGTCATTAATAAATAGGTTAAATAGAAGTGGAGATAAAATTTTGCCTTGTGGTACACCACTTAATACTGGGAGCCATTCAGATACTTCATTATTAATTACAACCCTTTATTGTCTGTTTGAGAGAAAGTTGTTAGCCAATTATTTCCAGATATCAAAATTTATTCACTAAATTTGTACTTTGTCATTAACTAGATTAATATTTTTCTAACAAAATTTTTTAGTTTTGCAGTTAAGCTTTATAGAAAAATAACTATCCGGAACTGACTGACTATATGAATCTTTGCCAGCTGACAGTCATTTTCTTATTTTCTTTTTCTTTTTTTTTTTTTTTTTTTTTGCTATTTTGTTATATATATATGCATATATACATATATATATATATATATATATATATATATATATATATATATATATATATATATATATATATACACAGCGACGTATCCAGGCCGATTTTAATACCGGTATACCGGTATGGGCCCCCAAATTTCTGCCCAAACTTATAGTTGGTAAATACTGAGGACCTTTTTTTTTTTGTTGTTGGTTTTTCTAGTTGGTAAACAAATACATAAAAAGTATTATAACTTGTTGTCATAATTACAAAATTGTTTTTATGTCGTTTAGAAAAAGCAACATTTGCTAACGAGTTTAAAAACAGATTATTAATGTATTTTAAGTCAATCAGAATGTCTAATTCGAATTCAAGCGGATGAAATATGGATACGTTACTATTGGATTAAAATGTAAAATGCATGTTTTGATTGGATTAAAATAAGAAACGCATTTTACATTTTTATAATTTCTTTCATAAAAAAATTAACTTGAAAAAAATATACTTAAAATGAGTTTCTCGTTCGCTTACATTTTGATAACTATAATTTACAATTCGATTAAACTCTATAAGCTTTAAACTTAATCATTTTAAATAATAGTAAAATTGCAGTGAAAATGTAAATAAACTGGTTTAAGTTATAAAATAAATAAATAAAACTTTTTTTAAACAATAAAATAATAACTTTTTAATGAATGAGTGACCTATGAATAAATGTTATGAATAAATTAACGACCTTGCAATGTTATAACGCATTTTGTTTTTATAAACTTTAATTAATAAAATTTGTTTGCAAGAGTTTGTTAAGTACGTTTAACTTACGTAATATGGGTTGACCAAAGACATCTTGTAGAAACCACAACAAAAATTCGTCCACATACAGATCTTTCCACAGTAAAAATAACAATGCAAATTCTAAACAAAAGTCAATTTTTGAAGCATTTGCTGTTAAACAAACTACAAAATATACAAAACAAGTTCAAGAAGTGGTAGATCAGCAGTTAATTCCTAAAATAAGAACAAACGAAAGCGAAATTATTATCGGGCGTGAATCAAATGAAAGCCCTATCCCTAATATCAACGAACATTTACTAGATGGACGTATGTACATGATGTGTCACCAATCTCAACAAAAATGGGAAACAATATTTCCATTTGCTATTTATTCTGCAAAGGATCAAGGTTGGTTATGTAGTATTTGTAAAGAATATAGGGATATCGGAGAAGTGTGGAGAACTAAAGGCGCGAAGCTTTTTGAACATCCACAAAGGGCATTTACTGCACATCAAAATTCAAAGAGACACCAGGATGCTGCCGAAAAACGTCAACAGGTCAAAAAAATACTTTCAACCAAAGGAACTGTATACAATCAGATGGTTGATGGCAGTTCGCTATACAGAATTGCGGGTAAACACCGCAACCGTAACGTCATAAAAAAGTTTTTTAAAACTGTTTATTTTGTAATTAAAAAGAAAACTTTAGTGATATCGTTGAATTTATTCGAGATCTTGGCAATAAGGAGATAGATTCACACTTTAAAATTGCTAGCAAACAAGCGACATACACATCATCAACTAGTGTTGATCAGTTCATCAAAATAATAAGTGATAAATTAGACAATGACGTTTGCACAAAAATTATTTTGGCCCATGACTTTAGTGTTCTTGCTGATGAGACGAGTGGTGTGGCAGATAGGACTGTCTTTTCTGTTTTCATTAGATATGTTTATTCTGATTCTCATACTATTGAAGAAATATTTCTTGGTTTAGTCCAAGTTATTGGAAGAAAGGATGCGCAAACTTTATGTGAACAAATACAACTAGTTTTAAAATCTAAATCGATAGATATCCAGCAACTGCGCTTCCATGGCTTTGATGGAACTAACACAATGAGTGGGGTGCGTAATGGTTTACAAGCTAAGCTAAATAAAATTTCTCCCCACTCAATGTACATTAACTGTCGTTGTCATTGTTTAGCTCTTGTGTGTGTTCACTTAATGAAAGAATTTGATGTCCTAGTTAACGTTGATGCTAATATCTTGGGAGTTTGGAAAGCCATGAAATATTCTAGTGTAAAGGCCTCAATATTTGATGCTGCGCAAAATGCTGACGGTTTAAAACCAGCGAAGTTACTTAAAGCTGCTCCAACGCGCTGGTAATCTTATGGCGCTTCTTCAGTACGACTCGTTTCAAGATTTGAACAAGTTATAAACAGCCTTGATGCGATTGTTAATGAGAAGTACGATACGGAGCTGGAAGGTCTAGCATATCAATTACTTGTTCCTGATAATATACTATTTTTGCTTTTACTGGCTGATGTTTTAGTACCAATAAATAAATTTGCAAAGTTTTTACAAATGCGAAACCTAGTCTACTCAAAGATAAACTTAAAATTAGACCTTTTAAAAAATGAGCTTAACGATATAGCCAGCGGTAAAAGTCCATTGTTTAACACTCATTCAAATAAATTTCTCAATATATCTAAAGAGCGTCAAGGAGTAACACAATGATTAAGAAAAAATAATTTGTTTAACACGATGTCAACACCAGAAAAAAATGATGAGTTTTTGAAGAAAATAAAAGTGCCATTCATGAGGAGATTAAAAGAAGAAATTGATGCAGCAATGCGAATTAATGACAATGTTTTTTTGGCGTTTGATGCATTTAATGCAACTGGTGAAAATCAAGATCTCAACAAATTTTCAGCTAACATTAGTAAACTTTCAAAGTTTTATGGCCATGCAAAACCTGCTATCATCAACGGCGAAAATATTATTGCACCACCATTGTTTAATCCTATTCATGATAATGAAGACGATATCCATCATTTTCTCTCTGATTATAGAGAAATCTTATGTAACCTTGAAACGAAAAGGAACCTAAAAATTCAAGTTTTAGTAAAAGAAGGCAAATTAAAGAGTAATAACATCGATATTTATAAGCACGAACACCCGATAACAAGTGATGCTATTTATACTGTTTTCCGTACCGATTATGCGTGTGAGCAGTATTATGATATAATGAAGTTATTTATTTGTCACTACTCATACCACCTAGCACGGCAAATGTCGAAAGAGGGTTTTCTATGCTAAACTTAATACATTCAAAACACAGAAATCGGCTTAGTATAATAGCACTTGATCGCCTTATGCGAATTTCTTTGGTTGGACCAGGAAATTTAACAAACCAAACATATGAAGTGCTGACTGACATTTATCGAGACTCGGGTGAGAGACAAATTGACTTATGAAATGTCAATCCTTTCTAATATCCTTTAAGTAAATCTTGTTAGTTTATTTATAAGAAATATATTAATATATAAATCTATTGTTTACTAAATGTTGTAGTTATAAAGCTTTTCTCGCGGGAGTAGCAGTAAGGAAATAAATTGGATCTCATTCTTTTATGCGAATAAAAGGCATAAAGAAAAATAAGCGGCGAATGGATGTTGACGCCAAGATTACTAAATATATACAAAAACTCTGGATACGTCACTGATATATATATATATATATATATATATATATATATATATATATATATATATATATATATATATATATATATATATATATATATATATATATATGATAAATAAAAACTGCGCGACGCATAAGCACAGCGTGATTTTTTGCTTTTCATATTTATCGACATTAACTGCACCAATTTACTTAATTACCGTAAAACTACTTTAAATCATTAATGTAGAAATGTTATTATTTAAAAATGTTTTAAAATGTTTCGTTTTTAAAAATGTAAAAACATTTGTTTATTTTCTCGACGTTTGACACGTTTTGTCTATACTAAACGAATAAAAAACATTATAACATTAAATACATTTAAAAAAGATAATAAAATATGCTAATATTTGATTTTTTTTTTCTCAAATATATAATTTAAAGTTTTTCAAATAATTATTTTTTCTTTTTAAAAAGTCAGCGAGTAATAAACTGGAAATTTTAATATTGTACGATTAAAAACTGTGCAATAGCTAATATTTTTACTAGGGATTTTATATAATATTTTTTTATTTATTGATTTTTATTTATTTTCATAAAGCGGTTGATAAGCACAATCACTCGTATTACTAAAAAACTTTAACGAACGTTTTGAATAGATTTTTAATGTTTACAAGGAATTTTATTTTTGGTAAAATAAAATAAAATGTTAGAATAAAAATCTTATAGGTATAAAAGACATTTCAGTGAAAAAATTATTTTTAAAAATTATTTGAAAAACTATTAACGTTCTATTTTTCAGCAGCTGATCTTGAGCATGCTTCGTTGAGTTTCGGTAACTTTTAACATAAAAGCGATTGTTATTATTTAATTAATTTTTTTCGAGTTACTTTTTACAAAAATTTTAATAGCTGTACTTTTTTTATTGAATCAAGTAGAATACATTTTAATATTGTTCCTTTTATTTTTTTTTATTTGCGCTTACCAATTTTTAAAATGTTTCCTCGAAATTACTCTTAAATACTTTAAATACGTCTAACAGTTAATAAATATTTTTAAATCTATGAAATAATTTTAAAACCTAACAAACCTCCGTAAAATAATTATTTAAGTTAAAAATCTAAAACTTAAAGAAAGTATTTTTGTTCAATTTTATAGACAACTTTGCTATTGCTGAATAATTTTATTAAAATGTTAGCTTAAAAAGATTTCAACTTTTTTTTAATCTGAATTTTTTCTACTTGTAAATTAGGAGCATATTTAATTTTTTTGTAATTCAAACTTTTATATTTTTTTTATGCGGTTCTTAAAATACTTTATTAAATGTTAAAATAATCGTAAATTACTTCATTAAAAATCCACTCGAAAATATCTTTAAATAAACTCAAACAAAAATTTTTTTGCTCAACGCAAATAGCCCTAGCTACACGCAAAATCGCTCTTGGACGACGTAAAATTCATATCGCCCGACGCTTTATCGCAAGGCCTGATATATATATATATATATATACATATATATATATATATAATATAAATATAAATATATATATAATATAAATAAATATATATATATATATATATATATAATACAAATATATATACATATATATGCATACATATATTTATAATATAAATATATGTATACAACCCTCAGAATTAGGGTCGGCATTCGGCAATGCTGACCTAACTGCTGACCATAAAGTATTTGACCTCATTTCTATGTTTTATGGTGAGACCCTTGTATCAAATTTTTTTTTGCTGACCTGATGCCGACCTCTAAAAGATTGAGTATTGAGTATCAAATTATTGCCGACCTCGTTTTTCTTAATTCTGAGGGTTGTTTATATATATATATATATATATATATATATATATATATATATATATATATATATATATATATATATATATATATATATATACATATTTATAGATATATATTTATATTATATAAATATTTATATTATATATATATGTGTGTGTATATATATATATATATATATATATATATATATATATATATATATATATATATATATATATTCATGTTTTTTAGTTGTGATTTGAAAATTAAGTAAATTCTGACAAGCAAAAGCTGTCTAGTTTAGTAAAACTGAATTTTACTATACTAGACTTAATAAGTTTTTGTCCAGCAACCAAGGTTGCAAACAAAGCTTTAATCTTTGCAAGAAGATATCTATCCCAAAATGCAGCCTAATTTATAGTCTGTTTATAGTCCCCACATAACCGTATTGCAGCATCTTTTTTCAGTATTGGAGCAATTAGAGCTGCTCCTCAAAAATAACTGACTGGTCTGTAGATGCCAGAATATACTGAACACTTATACTCTGCATTAAACTTTTCCAATAGTATATATGGTAAAATCGTGTTCTGCAAAACTTTGGTTTTACATTTAGCAGTAAATCCAAGTTTTTATAGCACTCTATTCACTCACTATTCTTAATCTATGTCACCAGAGTATCAGAAACATTTTTCAGGAATAATTTCTGGATCCAATGTTTGGTAAGTGTAATCCTAAAGTTCTAGAATTAGAAATGTTACAAAATTAATATTCCATTATTTAAAAAAATATTTACTAAAACCAATTTTTAATGGTTTTAGTATTTTTCAAATATTTCATACAAAAAACAATACAGTTTTTGACAAATAGTTATTTAATCAGTATCTATTTCATTATTAGTAGTGGTACCCAATAACTTCTTATCTTGATTTTTTTTGTTAGAATTTTGATTAAAATGTCAGATATAATTTTCAGTTATTTATCATTAGGTGAAGATAATGTGCTTTTGATTAAACTTTGTACAAGTTATTTTTCAATAATTGTTTTCATTTGTTTTTAGTATTACGCTCTCAAAAAACTTGACAGTATTGTCAACCAATTTTGGGCTGAGATATCAGAGGTTATAACTAAAATGTAAGTTATTAATTTTATTTAATTTTTGTTTATATTCATAAAAAAAAGACTTATATTTAAATTTTTTTTATAGAGAAGAGCTTTGTGAGAATGATGTATTCATACATAAAGATCTTTCTTCACTTGTTGCATCTAAGGTATCTTTGATTTATTTTATACTACTTATATATATATATATATATATATATATATATATATATATATATATATATATATATATATATATATATATATATATATATATATATATATATATATATATATATATATATATATATTCGCATCATACAACCAACAGTTTTTAATTTTCTTTTTTCTTTAGTTTTGGCAATGATTTTTGTGTATCAATTTATAAAGTATGAAATGCAACACAATTATGATTCTTGAAAAAGTTTAAGAATTTTTTGTCATTTTAATAGATCCCAACATCCACAATACATTTTCTTTACACAATTTAAGCATTTAAACAAATAATTTTAAATTTATAGTTTTATGAACAACTACATGACTATAAAATTTATAGTTTTATGAACAACTACAAGACTAAAATTTGACAAAATTTAGGATCTACTACTGGTTGTTTCCTCTTGCAGCTGCAGGTACTGTGGAACTGTCAGTCAGAATACTGTCAGAATACTGTCAGTCTCAACAACCTGCAGAATGTTCTGATAGTTCTTCACAATTTTAGATTTCCTACTACATTTTATACCACATTGACAACAATTACATAAACTATCTTCATCTTTTTAAACAAAAACTATGGGTTATTTGGCTTTTTTTGAACGTGTTTATAAAGGAAATTGCATTGACATTTAAAAAAAAGCTATATATATCTTTAAAAGACTGAAAACCTAGCGCAAATTAATAAAGACAAATGTCCCAGTTTTGTTTTGGCATTTCTTTCAGTCAATAACATGGGTTTGTCTGAAGACAAAGCTACGACAATTAGTTGATTACTAGATTTAGTTGAGAAGCTAAATACTGAATTGCAGTATTTAGCTGAAAAGCACAATACTGCAATTCAGGCTTTAAATCTATGTGACTGAATAAAAAAAAGGAAACATTTCAGGAACACTTGATGCTACTGTGTTTTTATAGCACTTTTAAAAATTGCCGAACTGCTTTGTGTGAATCTCAGAATATTCATTATTATCTTATTCTGCATGACCTCTCATATTGCAATACTATATTATTTATTGTTTCATATTAATACTATATTATTTATTATTTATTGGTATCAAACATTAATAAATTATTAATCAACATTAAATTAATCAATTAAAACACTAAAATTAACCTTTAATTTTTTCTATTAAGAAGAAATTTAATGAATTTAATATGATCTGTGACTATAAGACAATATAATTTTTTTTTGTACTTAATATTGTTTCAAAACTTATTTTCCTTAATTAAGAAACAATTTTTCTATTAACAGTTAGTAAGCAGAATAGCTTTATCAAAAACATTTTTATTATAACTTATTAAATAAGATCATGTCGGCATCAGATCCTTCAAATTAAAAACATTAAAAAAATATAATAGATTTACTTAATAATTATTTAATTGCGTTTTTTTTTTTAACTTTTTAAAATACTTCTTTATGAAAAATGAGATATATGAGGAATATTTATAGGTTTAAGAATACTATTAAGGAAAAGCAAACCAACATTACACTTTGGTTTCTTTATAAAACTAAACTTGACAAAAATTTAAATTTGTAATGTTTAAGATAAACGTTAACATTTACATAATTTTAAATTTAGTTATTAGTAGCCACATTTTCTTATAAAAGAAGTGGTCTTTCACCATTTCTGATAATGAAATAAAAAAACACTTTTTCTCTCCATTAACTTAGCTTTAATGACTATTGATAATCAGTCAATACAGAGTCGTGATTTTCATTTATTAAAAATAGTATAGAATTATTGCTGCTACCCTTAAACAAGGAAACACAAATCTGTTATACCATAAGTAACGTTGTGTTGTTCTAACCATTGCACGACTATCGTATAACTTGATTTGTAAAAATTATTATTGGCATATCAGTCATAACATCCTAACAGACTTAAAGTAATCAATCGTTTTTATTTCACTTTTTTATTGTTTTTCAATAGAATATTTCTACATTTTAAACAGATTTTTGTAACTGGTTATAGAGTTTTATATTTATTGAAAAAGTTAGATAAAAATTTTAAAAAAAGTAATTTTTTAAAATTTTTTTGAAGCAAATAATTTTTTAAAAATTAATTAGGAAAAATTAATCTAGAAAAGTGTTCTACACGATAATTTAAAAATTAATTCCATAAAAGTATTTTTTTTTTCAAATGTAAATCATTTTTTATACATATATATGCAGTCTCAGTAAATGCCTTCATTGATGACCACATTGATGGAAAAAGAACAAATAATTGACACACCGCGTCTTTAAGCTGTCAGCATAGTAGTGACTGATGTTGCAATACTTTATTAGATTTTTATAATTTTTTTATTGTATTAAATATTTAATATAAATTTCTAATTTCTGAATAAACATTCATATCCCCAAATTAATAATATATATAAAATCCTTAAAGGGATCCCAAACTGCCAAGACAAGTTGTGTTCATATTAAAGAAAATGTTTAAAAAAACATTTGGGCTGAATTTTATTGATTGAAACTAAATAATGAATGCATACCAACACAATTAAAATAATCATTTTAGTCGAAGCTCGGCTCTCTATTTTTTCTTGGTTCTTGTGGTCTGTATTATGTTAGCCACAATCTGCAGACTTGATAATTTATTTATGCATGTTTAATTCTTAATAGTTTCAGTATATGGCGTCATCGCAATATCTTTTTAAGATAGCGTTTTTTTGTTGTTGCTTTTTTAAAGATATAAGTATTTTTTCTACTACAATCAGAAAATCAAATATTTGTATAATTTTTTACTAGATCACAAAAAATATTTGTGACAGTAAAAAATTATACAAATATATATATATATATATATATATATATATATATATATATATATATATATATATATATATATATATATATATATATATATATATATATATTTATAAATTTTTTAGTATTACTTTGTTGTAGAAGCCAGCCAAAATCATGACACAATTATACATATTTTGTGATTATTAGAGTTCGCAGGCAAAGAAAAAATAAAGGCAGTATGATGCGGTTTTTTGCTCTATATTTAGTTCATATGGTTCAATAGAGTTGTTCGTTTTTACATTTAGTTATGGTTTAACTCTTTCACTACCGCAAGCCACTGGAAGGGGCTTTTGAGTATGCTTTACAATTTATATTGTTTTGTACATAAATTTCCATTCTAGACACAGAATTTGTTTGATTAACATAATCAAGAAAAAACAAGAGCTATATTGTGTAATTATAAAAAAAATTATCACTAAGTTAAAAAATCTTGAATAATCCTTCATAAAAAAACTTTAAATTTAGTTATAAAATAAAACAGCGTTAACACTGTAAAACTTAATTTGAAGAGGTGTTCAGTTTTAGTTAAGTAATTACCAAAGTATTTTCAAGAAAAAATATTATTTTTATTCATTAAATGAGATTAGTTTTGGACTTAATGTTTTAGTTACTACTTACAAAAACAATAGTTTTAAGCACTTTGCATTTATTATTGTTTAATGATGCGTGTTAAAACTTTTATTATTATTGAATTTTAATTAATTGTCGATGTTATGCTATTAAAATGTTATTCAAAAAAATCTGCGGTCTCTACAAAAAGAATTTTGTTCGGCTGGTAGCAAACAATTTAATGTGATTCTTTGTTTTTGTATTTATATTTTATACACTTTCTTGTATATTTTAGTACAACTTGCTTTAACTTTAATTTAGTTTGATTTGAACGGTTATTAGTAAAATAAGTCGTTTAATATTTATTTTCTACTTAGTTTAGTTTAAATGTTTTATTCAAGTCACTCGTTTTTTTTTTCAGTTTATACTTTAAATTAATTTATACACTTTTGTAAAATTATTCTTTTAGTATCTAGCTTATATTTAGTTTAAACCACTACGTTTACTTTAAATATTCGTTATATTAGATGTTTATTTTTGTAAATTTTATAAATTTAATTGCATTTTTTTAATTGCATTATAAACTTGTAATTGCATCATAAACTTTTAATTGCATCATAAACTTTTTTTGGGGTTTAGCCAAAAGTTACACAATTATCATGATTTGGTGATTTTGGCAAAAAAATAATACGACATCTTGAAAGAAAAAAATTTGTACGCTGGCTTCATATATCAAAATTGTTATGAATTGAACACACATGGAATAAATTATTAAGTCTGCAGATTGCGGCTAACATTATACAGACTCAGAGAACCAAAAATAAATGGAGACGGCGAGCTTTGACTAAAACGTGAATTTTAAATTTAATGGTGTGCATTCATTATATAGTTTTAATCAAAAAAATTAGCCGAAATGTTTTTTATTAAACATCTTTTTTAGTATGAACACAACTTGTCTCGGCAGTTAGGGATCCCTTTAATTTGAAAATTATTCATGCTATTTTCATTTTTTTGTAAATAAATATTATTCCTGCATAAGTGACTCATTTTTGTGTAGACACTTATGATTAATATATTGTTCTTTCTATTTTTAGGTTTATTATCACCTTGGTTCATTTGAAGATTCCGTTATGTATGCACTTGGCGCAGAAAATTTATTTAATGTAAATAGTCATTCAGAATATGTAGAAACGACAATTGGTTTGTTGCATTATTTATCATATATTTGTATATATTATTCACTTTATTATTTGTATTAATTTGTTATTTATTTAAAAAGCAAGTTAAAAAAAGTTGAACATACCATGCTACATCAGGAGTTGTTACCTAAACCCCATATCAATCTTCAAAGGAATTTTGGGTAATACTTAAGAAAGTTTTTGTAACTACTTGATGAATGTTGAGGATAAGAATAGCCCAATTATGCAGAGGACAAGGAAAAGGACTAATAAAGAAAAGGATCAGTAGATTAGTAATTTTTATCATGATAAAATGACGGTCTTTTAGTATTAAATATTCAGTTTCAATTAATGTTAATTTTTTTATGCGCTAAAAGTAAACTATTATAAAACCTAGTATTATAAAAACTATTAAAATGTTATTTTTATTTATGCAGTAAAAATAAACTACTGTGCTAGGTTAAACTTCCCATCATCATCACTTGCTAAAATTTCATATTTTCAACAGCTGCACTTGGCTTCAATCTAAAATAACAATCACTCGAACTTAGATATAAAATTAAAAAATTAAAAATGTCTGGGTAATAAGTTACAAAAATCTTATTAAATTAAAATTTTCCTATGTTTAATAATTTTATAAAAGTTTAATTATATTATGTAAATAATTTAAACAAGTTTATTGTACAAAAATATTAAACATGTAAATTTGATGTTATTAAACCTTCTTTTTAATCTAAACTCAGCCTTTAATTCACTTGCATAAACTATTTTAGACTATCATTATTTCAATTATTTTTTACCTTGTTATTAGTTTTTTACCCTTGCATTAGTTTTTTACCTTGAAACTTTGTTGTGATTTTGATTAAATTTTTTGAAAAAAAAAAAGACAGAAATTGATTTATATTTACATATTTTAATGTTGTGGTAAAACACTAGAAAAAATTTTATTGAATTGACCGGCTAATAAAAACAGTTGTATGGCAATTCTATGTGTTAGTCAAATTGACCAGCTACCATTGATTTTTTTGTGTGTGCTGTAATGATAAAATAGGTTATTTTTTTCAATTTTTTAATGTTTAAATTAGTCATTTTTTTCTATTTTTAATGTTTAAATCTGTTATTCTTGTTCATTTTTAGCAAAGTGTATTGATATGTACATACAGCTTCGGATTACTGCTGCAGAAAACGCTGATGGCAGTGAAAAAAATATAGATAAAAGACTTGTTAATATTGTTGATAGAATGTTTCAAAGATGTTTTGATGATAAAAAGTTCAAACAGGTGACTTTCTTCATTATTACTTGTATAACATTTTATACTAATAATCATGAATTTTTCATCATTTTTAAAATTTGAAAATTTATGATTATAAAGAGTTTACATTTTAGTTGAATTTTTGAATAAAATTTTAACTAGCAAAAGTTTATTATTATTGTTATTATTATTGTTATTATTATTATTATTATTATTATTATTATTATTATTATTATTATTATTAATATTATGAGTTTTCCTTCTTTTTAAAAACACTACAAAAATAGTTTATATAACTTCATATATTTTTTCATAAATATCCTTTTTTTTTTTTTTAAATTTTCTTACTAGATTTGTGAATCTCCTCCCGTCAAAAAATTTCATTTCATTTGTAGTTTATTGAACATCTCTACCAACTTTTAAAGTGTTTACAACATTTACAACTTTATTATAATATTCATTGGTTGATTTTAAAATTAATGCAGGTTGTTTAAGAAGTAGCAACTGGAAACATGAACCTTTACAAATAAGAGTGGAAAAGGTTATATTATGATCGCTGATTTTATATTCGTTTCTATAATAAAATATAGGAAGAAAATATTTTATTTCATGATTAAACTTTTTTTTTCCATGAATAATAAATGGAGAAAATGTTTTATAATAGATATATAAAAAATATTTTTAAATATTTTAATCAGTGCTATGGCTAGAGGGTCAGTGCCTCCCTCCTCCAAAAGAAATCCCCTGTCATCAGGGCCCTAAAATTATAAAAAATATTATACCAATAATATCAACAACAATAAAAGATATAAAAAAAATATATAATATTGTTCATAATGCTTATAATATATAACACTGTCAAAGTATTCCAGTGTGATATTGTTTTTTATTGTCAGTGGCAGTTAGTAATAATTAGTCTTTATTACCATCATAAAAATGAATTTTTATAATGGTAGTAAAGGGTTAAATAAAAGAAACTATTTCCTAACTATGGCTTTGAGATTTTAATTTGAAAAATGACGTTCCAATTTACAATCATTTTGAGCAAATTGAAAAAGCCTAAATACTTGAAAAACTATTAAATTGCAAGCGTAGCAGATAAAGTTAACTAAATATTAAAAAGTATGGCATCATAATTTTTTTCTAATACTAAAGATAGCTATTATAAATTAAGTACTTTGTTTTGAAATGGAAAAAAGAATTTAACTTAAAGTTAAAGTTTGATATCAAAGGAAATGTTGTAAGATTATGCTGTTTGCTTTTCAAGCAAATTGAATTTTGTATTATAAACATTAAAAATTTTCTATTTTATGGATTTATCCTGGGACTCCATCAATTAAGAAAGACAGTGTAAAAAGTCATTGCAATAGTAAACAACATAAGGTAGCACATCTCATTGACAGAAGTAATTTAGGTGCTGAAGGTTATAAAGAATATATTAAAAAAATACTTATATTGGAAAAGGGCTGCAAGAAATTTGTGAAAAAGATTTGTGACTCACTTAAGAAGAAATACAATGCAGCTTACTAACTGGCCAAAAAAGAATGCCCATTTTTCTAATTTCCCTAATTTGCTAGGGCTAATTAAAAAAAAAAAATTGGCATTGATCTTGGTTATAGTTACTCAACTAATTGAGCCCCTGGCATTTTTATATATGAATTTATTCAAGTCAAAATCTTATTCAATTTTATGTGGCGACAGTTGTGATATTGCTACAATGGAACAAGAGTGTATGTACTGTATTTGTTTGAGAGCAGTCTATGTGTTAAACTTTTATAATGATAAAATCATTATATAAGTTTAATGCATCAAAAATTTAAAAGCCCTGTCAATGGCAATGCCTGTGGTTTACAAGTCTTAAACAAGCATTTGCAAGATTTGGAATAACTGACATGACTAAAAAACTATTAGGGTTAAATGTAGACAGAATCTTGGTGTTCACAGTCGGTTTAGGAGCTTGACTAAAAAAAATCTCCATGACTTCAAGCAATACGTTGTTTCAACCATTGTCTCAAGCTCACATTAAAAGATGGTTTTGAAAAATTTACTGCATTTGCTTCTTACTAAAGTTACATTGGCTTTATAAATAATTGCGGAAACGTTTTTGAGAATTGAAACTTTTATCAAAAACTTAAAAAAATCTGTTCCTGAACCAGCATAATTATATGGTACTTGCTAGCTAGATCATAAATGGAATGCAATGAAAATAGCTTTAAATAATAATGGTGCATATATTTCTTATATAGAGTCTCCTAGCCAACCAGAATCTCAGCCATAGAAAAAAACTGAATTAAACAGATTTTTAAAAGTTTGAAAAAAATCATCTAATCTTGTAATACATTTATCTGTTTACCTAGACGTTCTTGCACCATTGAGATACTTGAGTATTGGCTTCCAGCAAGATTTACGTGATCCAGTAAAAGCTGTCCACAGTGTGCAACAATTAAATGGGACAATTGTAAAAACTTAAAGCTCTCTTGGATAGTTCGTTAGGAAATTTTTCAACAGGACAAACTGTTTTAACAAACTACAAAACATTAATTTCAAATATATTCAAAAAAGATAACGATTGTATTTATCAAAAGTTGGAGTTGCTCTTAGTAGAAGATATGTTTTCCCGCATTAACAGAATACAATCAGATCAGAGAAACAAACCATCTCACAATCGTTTTAATTCTCTTTTACAAATAGGAGGAAAAGGATGCAGCATCGAAAAATTTGACTCAAACCCTGCTTTGAATGTATCGTATAAAGATAAAATAAAAAGACTTTCTGCTGTGCCTTATCGCTATCCAGAAAAACAAAAAAAATATGCAGATGAAAATTGTATAGTTGACCGTTCTGTATTGCCAATATCAAATTTAGAAACAGAAAGTGATCTCTCTGATTTATTAACTTATTTTGCTTTATTTTTTTAAATCAAAATTTGCACTGATTAAGTTTATTATTAAATTACATTTTTGAATTAAAATTGTCTTTAAGTTGTAAAAGCATAAAAAGTAAAGTTGTAAACATAAAAAGTCATAAAAATAAAATGTGTATATGATTTAGCATAGTTGTGATTGCTATTTTTTATAATAGAAGAATTTAGAAACCACATTTTTTTTTAATGTTTTAATTTTTATTCATAAAAAAATACATAAATAATTAAAAAATAATAATAATAAATAAGAAAGACAAAATTGACAATTTCATTTTTTAATTTATAAACATAATTAAAAAATTCAAAATATATTTAAAATATTAATTGAAATTAGAAAAATACAAAACTTCAGGAACTATTTCATTTACTAATATCAATATTTAAAATCAAACAAATGGTTCTAATGGTTTTCAAGAAATTGAAAATTTTACGAATAGAAATTTTTGTAGTTTTCATTATTTTCAAAATTACGACTAGAAATTTCTGTAAATTTCAATATGCCATCACTTAATTCGCCCTTAGACTAAATGTGTATAGAAAAATGAAAACTGCTGTTAATTTAATTACCCAGGTATTTTGCACATTTACTAACTTTTACTATTACAATTTCCGGCTTGACACATTAAAATATTTTTCAGTAATAAAATATTTTAGAACTTGTAATCAACATCTAAACTTACTGTAATCAACTTACTTGCATTCAGTTTCATTTCATTTTCACTAAATCAGACAATAAGTCCAATTCATCATTTAACTTCAAATCTGATTCTTTATAATTCTTACATTCAATGTCAAATAATGTCTCATTTGCAAAGAGATTAATGTTTACATATATGGTAGCACTGTTATTAGCATTCATGTATATTGTAAATATCAAGGCTCCTATTGACCTCTATGGCACACTATGGCTCTTATTGACCTCTATGGCACACCAAATCCACAGGGTAATTCAGTTGATAACTTATCACCCAATTTTCACTTATTGATTTCCATTAGTGAGTAACCATTATTTTCAAAACCAGTAAGTAAACAGTTAGTAATCCATTGAAATACTATGCCTCAAAATTTGTAGCAAATTTTTCAATTACTATTTCTCTATTGTTTCGAATGCTCTCTTCAAGCTAAAACTTTTATTTTTATTAAATTCCCATTTTTTACATCTAGCAAATCTGTGAGTGAATTTGGGTAGTTTTGACAGACTATTTGCTTTTACAAATAGACACCTTTCATTCATGCCTAATATGGGAATATATGTGCTAGTTTGTTTGTCATATAAATAACTTTTATTTTTATGAATAAATTATAAACCTAACAAGATCTTGTTTAAACGGGTCAGGCTGATTCATATATACAGCATCTAAGCTATTTTTATGGTTGATTTCATGTATACCTGGTGTAGTTAAGGCGATTTACAAAATATTCAAATATTTTTATTTGGAATTAGCATGGTTTTGTCAGCATATTATGTCCAAACAAAATCTTTAAATGTTATAGTTTTTTTTTTTTTTTTTTTTTTTTTTTTTTTTGCTAAAGGTTTTTATAATATTTAAAGAAACTTTTCCTTTTTTATATAATTTTTAAAACCTTTTTACTACCCGCAAGGGTAGTAAAAATTAGTGAATCTAAAGAACACTATTTTGGAGTCATTAGATTAATTCTGCTCTATAATGTTCATTTCACCTAAATAACGTATTAATATAAAATCTTATTCAAATTTGGACGAGCGATTGTGATTTTAAGATGATTTCAAAAAAAAAAAAGATCTTGGGTCTGGGTTTTTTTGCTACGCACATTTATATTTTATGATACTGCAAAATTTATCATTTTAATATTTTTCGTCTTTTCATAATTTACAGACCAGACCATTTAACAGAAATATGTTGTAGTCAACAAAATATCATACAGACACTATAATATTTTAAAAGTGTCTTAACTACACCGAGTAGATTTCATGTATTGATATTATTTTTAAGTTAAATTTTTTTTTTTTTCAAAAACAATATCTACTTGTATCTCAAAAGAACCAAAATTTTAGATATGAAATTTACAAAAAATTTAGTAGAAAAAAAATATTGTTACAAAATGTCATAAAAAATTACCAAAAATTTTTTTTTAGTCCTTTATATCTTTATTGTGCCCTAGAAAATATTTTCTTTTCCAGAAATTACATGATCATTATTGAATTAGTTGCATTGTTATTATTTGAATATAACCATAGTTGCTGCCCATTTTTTTAATTTCCAGGTGGCAATTCATTTACAGGGTTTCAAAACTTAAATTCATCATCTAATGGCTATATATCCTATTTTCATGTAGTCATGGCACAATCCAAATCATTGCACTTTTGTTTTTTTGCTTACTTTATTTACTTAACAAAGCATTTTAGTAATTAAAATACTTTTCCTTTACTATGTATTACATTCTACAAATAAATCTACTTTTAAACAATACATGAAATAGTTTAAAAAAAGAGTTAAATAATTATTATTATTATTTTAATGCAATTTAATTCAAAACAAGTTAACAGCCGTGATCATATCGTCAACACAAAATATATACACACATCAATTGCACACCTTCCTGACCAAGGCATATTTATACACATACACACAGATATATACATATATATATATATATATATATATATATATATATATATATATATATATATATATATATATATATATATATATATGTATATATATATATGCATATATATATGCATATATATATATATATGCATATATATATATATATATATATATATATATATATATATATATATATATATATATATATATATATATATATATATATATATATATATATATATATATAAAATCAATTTACATAAAAATATATTTTCAGATATAATTGCCTAAAAACTATTGTTTTTAAGGTGATAATAAAAAAAGTCAATATTTTTAAGTTTTTTTTAAAATAATTTATTAAAACATGTTTTTTATTTAAATTGATTATTATTTTTCAAGTTTTTATATAATTTCGCTTCTTTTGAGTACCAGGTTAACATACTTTAGAAAAACTATTTTTTTCAAAATATTTGGGATCCATCAAATTTTTAAGGGTCATGAGGCACCCCTAAAAATATTTTGTTCAAAAAAAATTTTAAACCTAATATTTTTGCATTATATAGAATACATTTAGTTAAGAGCAGCAGACTATTTTAAAAAAAGTTATTTTTTGCATCACCATAATATATATATATATATATATATATATATATATATATATATATATATATATATATATATATATATATATATATATATATATATATATATATATATATATATATATATATATATATATATATATATATATATATTGATTATTGTTTTAGGCAATCGGCATAGCTTTAGAAACACGAAGAGTTGATATGTTTGAACAAGCAATATTAAAATCTGTAGGTTACTATTTATTTTTACTTTATAATTTTGTCTTGCAGTTTTTTGTCAATGATTTGATTAAATAAAAATTCAAATTTATTTTACATCTGATCCAAACCCTATCAATAATAAATGATCTGATTAGGATAATAGGTATAAACTCAACTGATCCAAACCCTATCAATAATAAATGTATTGCTAATCTCAATGAAAATTTTATTGTTAACTAATAATGATCTTTATTAAGTTTATGATCTTTATTACTTCTGAAGCGTGGGGCAATTCAAATATATGAGGTACTGTTGTGTTGTAAAAGTGCTTACTTTTTAGATAAGAGATACATAGTTCAAATTTTACCACAACCTTATTACCATACTTAGCTTACCACAACCTTAGTACTGTACTTAGCTTACCACAACCTTAGTACTGTACTTAGCCTACCACAACCTTAGTACAGTACTTAGCTCACCACAACCTTAGTACTGTACTTAGCTTGTTTTTAAAGCTTAATAAAGATCCTTATTAGTTAATAGATTCAGCGAATTTATATATAGAAAAATAAAATACACTGAGAATATAAGTAGTTGCATAGATTATTTGTATTCTTCATTAATATGATGCATATCTTAGTTGCATAGATTAATATGATACTTATAAATTGTAAATTCATATATATTGTCATTCATTTTTATAAAACTTATAAAGTATAAATAATACATAACAGGTAAGTGCAACTAAGATAAATGAACATAAGTAAATATTTTTTGAAATCTAATTATTCTTTTAATTTTTTTTCAAAGCGACAACAAAATATAAAATGCTGGTAAAATTTGATGCATGCTAAAGTATAATATGCAGTTATCATTATAATTTTTTTTTAAGGAAGATATTCAGGGAATGCTCAGTTATGCACTTGGTATTTGTATGTCATTAATTGAAAGTAGATCTTTTCGAAATCAGGTAATAAATAATTTTAATACATTTAATGCAGGTAAAATGCAGTGCTTGAACTAGACTGAGCAATGCAATCAGCCAATACCCTAACCATACCCATATACCTAGAGATACTTTAGACCACGATACCTAGATTTACTTTTTCAAAATCAGGTATTAGATATTTCCTACACAAAAAAGCAAAATACTAATCAATTTTTTTTTATAATTTAATAACTTAGCGTTACCTACACTTGGTTTTGTTACCTACAGTTGACTCTTGATATCTCAAACTTTAGTGTGTTTTGAACTTTATTTGTGGTTCCTTGCGCACTTGTGTGAGCCAAAATCCCCTCTATATGCCAAACTCTTGATATCTTGAAATTTTTTTCCTGTTCCCTGAAATTTGGAGATATCAAGGTTTACTGTATTTAATATTTGTTACCATGATGAGACAATTTTAATGTTTTTTTCTCAAAAACTACTTCATATATATTTTTTAAATGATACATACATACAATAAGCTTCAACAAAAAAAATATTTTAACAAAAAAAAATTGTCTTTATTTTGCAACATTTTTGTTATTGCATTAATCATAAGTCTCAGAATTTTTAACACTATTTGCAGACTAGCTACTTTTAAAAGTATTTTGTTCATCATCGTCCAGATTTAGGTGGGATCCAAGGGATTTCCAAGGTATGCTAATCGATTAAGATAGGTTATCATCCCTTGGAATAATATTCACTCTATATTTTCATACCTCATCATTACTTTTTTTTAAATTATGAATTTATTTAACATCTGGCTAAAATAAAGTTGAATGTTTTGTGCTTTTTGATTAGTAAAAAAAGTTTTTTTGCTTTGCATTTATTTCTATATAGATCTGATATGAAACTTTGAAAGTTTAATATCAGATCTATATGGTAAATGTAAAGTTTCAAAATTTTGTTTTTCTTTTTATTGCATGACATTTCAAAAACTAATCATATATAAACTTAACTACACAAATAAAAATCTAATTATGTATGGATCTGTTGTTTTAAAAATAGTTGTTAAAGTTAAGAAGTTTTTTGAAAAAAAGTTCTAATAAAGTTGTCCAAATCATCTAATCATGTTAAAAATTGTATTTTTTGTATTTTTTATCATTCTAGTAAAAATTAATTTTCAGAAAAATCAAAATAATGGTGGTAAAAATTGAGATTTGTGTTTCTCAGGGTTTGACGAAAATCAACTATAAAATTTTGATCTAAGAAAAGTGTGTTCAATAAAGAATAGAGGATATAAAAATAAATAAAAAATAAATGGCTATTTTAGGTTTGAAATACTTTTAAAATTGAAAAAGGTCAAGCACTAGTTGAAACACTTTTCAGGTTTTCATAATTTAAAAAAAATGTCTGTACATCTTCCTTTGTAATCTTTTTTTCATTTAAATCAAAATTTTCATTTAAATCATTTTGGATCAAAATGACAAAAAAAAGGTTTGCACTTTCTTTTTCACATCTTAACATTCCTCTATGTCAAGCTTTTTTATTTGGCTGCAATAGTTTAGGTATTACTAATTGTGGTGACAAGTTTTGAAGTTGCAGATGTTGTATTAAGTTGGCAATATTCTGTGTCTAATGATGTTATCATTAGACACAGAATACTCCAGATCTCACTATATTTAAAAATAGACAAAAATATTTTACCGCAAAAAAAAATCTCCTTTTTTTTTGGAATAAATATTTTATTTTACATATTAATAACATTAATGTTATTCAATAAATTACAATCAAGAATTACTTCAAGATTACAACTTTGTAAGAGTACAACTAGGTTGTTGTTGATGTTGTTGTTTTTCTTTATTTGCTTTTCAATTGTGTGCTTAAAAAAAGTTTTGAACTCGAGAGAAAAAAAACAAGTTTTAAGAATCTTTATCTTGCCATGAAAGTGGGAAAATAGCGTAAAAAAATAAAATAAATATATCTGTGTGTGTGTGTGTGTGTATATATATATATATATATATATATATATATATATATATATATATATATATATATATATATATCTCACTAGATATACTCAATGGCAACAAAATATGCTAAAAAAAATGCACTGCATGGCGACAATTGTCTTAAGGCAACTAATTATTGTCACCTTTAAGTTTCTGACTCAATTTTAAAGATTTGTTGCTTGCGCATTAAAATTAAAACATTACCTATCTTTAGATATTTAAAAAATAAATTTTGCATTAAACTAAAGTTTTTTTTTGTGAGATATAGAATGTAGTTTAGACAGTGTTTATTGCATTAAACTATTTTTTGCATACAAATGGCATATGGTGACAGTTAGTATATTTAATAGTTTTTAAGTGTTTTTACATATTGCTTTATGATTAAAAGCAATAATTTAATTGTTAGTCGACTATATTTAGTTATTTTTACAAACTTTTAGCATGAAACGTGTGTATAAAATGCTAGACTAAAAAATACAGATTTTTCTTTCACAAAACTTTGTTTTTTACTATACTAAGTAAGGCTTATGTCTTATTAACATATAAATATTCATTTTGATAATATCTGTTGATGTTTTCCATCACATTTGCTAACTTTCCACAATTATGTTAAATGCTAAGGTGACGCAACTGAGTAAAATCAACAAAAGAAAAAATGTTTATTACACTTTTTTTGTTTATCACTGTGGGAAAGTGCGATAATTTTAGTTTCAATAGAATATGGTCATAGGAGTAATTATATGAGTGAAGTTGTTATAGCACGATGATCATGATCATGATGATAATGATGATGATAATGATGATAATGATGATGATGATGATGATGATGATGATGATGATGATGATGATGATGATGATGATGATGATGATGATGATGATGATGATGATGATGATGATGATGATGATGATGATGATGAATCAAGCTGTTTTGATTAAGGAATCAAAGTGTTCTTATTTATGAAACCCTTGTATGCATTTTTATGAACCCTCTTATGAATGGCTTTTTGAACCAAAATGGTGCTTCAAAAATAATTGAATTTCTTTCCAATAATAGTGCAATCAACAAAGTCAAATTATGTTTAGAATTGTCTGCTTTTATAAATCAGTCATAAATGTTTCATAGTAAAACCATCTTCAGTTAAGAAATAAGTATTCCTTAGGTGTTTCAATTTTGGCAATTCTCCTCAACTCTAGTTTATATATATATATATATATATATATATATATATATATATATATATATATATATATATATATATATATATATATATATATATATATATATATATATATATATATATATATATATATATATATATATATATATATATATATATATATGTAAGGATATAGTATGCTAGCATATAGTTAAATAGCAAACATATACATTTATATCCATATATATACATATTTTATATATATATATATATATATATATATATATATATATAACATGTAGGCCAATATTTTATAAATATTAAATATATGCATAAATTTAAAATTTATTTTAAATATTTTCTATTTTTTGCTAAATCTTATTATTTTGCTAGGGCTGGGTTGCTAAAAAAGTATATTTAGGGCTGGGTTGCTAAAAAAGTATATAAAATCATATTTAGCCGGTCTTTTACTACTTATGCAACCTTAAGAATTAGGAAAAATGGCAATAAATTGCCAACCTCAAATTATTATAAGTCGGCATCAGGTTGACAAAAAAAATTTAACTTAAAGGGGTTACCATAAAACATAAAAACGAAGTCTGCAATTTTTCATAGGTTCAGTTAGGTCGGCATTGCCAAATGCTGACCCCAATTTTGAGGGCTTCTTATGGAGATACCAAATAACTATTACCTGTATATGTATATATATATATATATATATATATATATATATATATATATATATATATATATATATATATATATATACATATACATATACATATACACTTTACTAATTCAATCATTTTAGTGTTTAGAAATACATTTGAAAGTATTTTATTTAAATAATTTTTTTAACTTTAAATTAAATTTTTTTTAGATTCAATTTTATCTCCTTGTTTTTTTTTAGATTCTTCGTATATTAGTAAAACTATATTTGAGCTTAGCGACACCGGACCATATCAGTGTTACACAGGTAAACAAAGACTAACAATTCAGAAAAGTAAAAATTTTTTATAAAGATTTAACATTTGTTGTATTTATACCAGTTTATATCAAATGGATACAACATATGATAAATATATTTATTTATTTTAGTGTTTGATTTTTCTTGATGATCCAGACTCAGTAGCAAATATTTTAGAAAAACTTATGAGGAGCAGTGAGAATGACAGTCTAATGGGATATCAGATAGCTTTTGACTTATATGAAAATGCATCTCAACAATTTTTAAATGGTATTAAAAATTCCTTTAAAAAATCACCTACACTTACAGTTCCACCTAGTGATTCTTCCAAAAGTAACATAGATAGGTATATATTTCATAATAATAATATATATATATATATATATATATATATATATATATATATATTTATTTATTTATTTATTGTACACAAAGGATCTATACATGAAAATATATCTTACACTTACAAACTTTAGATATACTTTAAAGATCAAAATATTTTTCTAAAACTCATTTCTTATTAAAAATATTATGATCAATTGGATGGCATTGCAACCTGTTTACCTCTAACACTATTTTTAGTATGTCTAGTCTGTTCCATGAGCAAACATTTGCTCACCTTCTGTAAAGGTTTTTTATAAACTTTATGAAGATGACATTTTTGCTTTTTTTAATTCAGAGTTGGAAGCTCAGGAGTTTTTTAAACACTTAATAAACAACATAAAAGCTTGATATGGGAAAATATAAAAATAATCAAATTACATTTTCAGATATTCATATTAAAAATTCTAATTTACTCTCTACACCAGTTTATTACAAAAAAAAAAAAAGTATACACAGGACTTATAAAATTTTTAGGTTTTTTATACTCTTGTATAAAGTTGGTCGAATTCATTGTTTGGTTGATTATACATATAAAATTATCAGTATATGGTTTGGATTTGATAAGGGTTTAAAAAGAATTTCTTTAGTTTTAAAAAGTGATAAGTTTTTCACAAGAAATTATTGACACTAAAATCAAATCATGAGATTTGATTTTAGTGTCAATAATTTCTTGTGAAAAACTTATCATTTTTTAAGATTCTAATTTTTGAAGATTCTAATTTAAGATATATCTCAAATCTAATGTTACCTACGAATTTTCTTTCACTAATTCTAGTTATATTGGGTAAACCTCAAAATATTTGACAACAAGGATAAATGAGCACATTACAATTGATGTATATTTTGACATTTGACAACAAGGAGCACATTTTAAGTGATACTGTGTGTGTCTAGCATTTGGTAACTAATTTGTAAACAAATGAAATATTTTTTAACTTAAACCATTTTAAAATATAACAAAATTTTCAGAATATAATAATAATAGTAAACATTATAAATAAATTTACACTACTTTTATTGCAACTTTTGATAATCTTTAGTGTTTCAGAGACACCTATGGACACAACTGAAAGTTTAGAAAGTAATAAAGAAGATATTTTGTTAGTGAGTAATTATGTATTATTTAATTTTTTTAACAAGTGAAAGTTATTGTTAACTAATATTCAATATTATAATCTTGATTGTATTTATTAATATTTATTATTTATATATCCATGTTTCAGGAGAGCAGCGAATATAATCACAGAATAGAAAAACTTATAGACATCCTTGGTGGAGATGCTACTTTAAAATTGCATCTTGAATTTTTAATACGTAACAATCATGCAGATTTACTTATACTTAAAAATACAAAGGTAAAAAGTAAAAGCTTAAATACAAAAATACAAGTATTTTTTAAAGAGTTTCTTTTAATAATTAAAAAAAAAATGTTTGTTTAGAGTTGCTTTATAACACTGACCAATAAAAAATTTTTATTTGAAGATGCTTTTCTTTATACCCATTCTGTAGCATGAATTAATCAATAGTGTTTAGTTACTTTTGCATGACCAACATAGCAGGGTCTACTGAGAAGAACAAATCAGCTATAATATATCCAAAAGATCTTTTAGCTTTTACTTCAGATAGTTAGCTTTTAGCTTACTATCCAAAGTAAAGGTAGAGCTTCTGGGGTCTTTCTTAAGCAATGGATCTTATTGTTGCTTGGAAATAATGTCATTCATTTCAGAACTAGACATGCAACACTGTCCACATTTTTGTTAGCAATCTGTTTTACCAGCTTAGCTTTGACTTCTAATCAGATTATTAGAAACTGTTTATAGGTTTATCAGATCCATAATGCTTTTTAGCTTCATAATGATAATGTTGTCTATTCTGATTGAAAATATAATATAAATATAAATTGCTGGTATAAAAAAAACTTATGAGTTCATGACACTAATACTCCAAGTAATAAAATACAGAAAGCATGTCTAAAATAATTGTGAAGATCTCAACTTAGTTAAATTTCTTCAGGAAATACAGTTGAATTACAATAGTCAAGTATTATTCTTCTGGGATTTTTATTATGCTTCTGGGATTACATCTTCCTGGTCTTTCAGTCCTGATTACCAAGCTAATTCATATTCTTACATGAAATGAAGGAATGACCTATTTGATCTGAGTTAGTTGGAGACAAGATCTATGTGTAAATATCAACCTCTTGTATCCTTCTAAAAGATTTGTCTTCTGCTTAAACTTTTAAAAGTTGTTTTATTTAGTGCTTTTACAAAACAATTAAATAAAGTGAAGAAAAAAAAATAGTTCAAAAACTTTGTTAATTGTATTAATTTATTTATTTAGCAAAAAAAAATTACTTCTTCATTTTTATTTCCTGTAATTTTATATATATATATATATATATATATATATATATATATATATATATATATATATACTTTGTAATATCATTTTTTAGATTACTTTTGTGCATAAATTATATACAAATTTATAACTTCAGTTTTTAATAGTATGAATTGAAAAATGACTAAGTAAATGGTTTAATAAATAATTAATTTTGTTTTTGAAAGAAAAGTTAATATTTTAAAGGAGATTGTACGAAATTCAATATGTCATTCTGCAACTGTCATTGCAAATGCATTTATGCATTGTGGTACAACAAGTGACACATTTTTGAGAAATAACCTTGAATGGCTTGCAAGAGCAACAAACTGGGCAAAGTTTACTGCAACAGCTAGCTTAGGGGTTATTCATAAGGTATGTTATTTGCAATGTCATATATGTATTTATGTATATCTTTAAAAGGTAATAAATATAGATTAGTGTGTGTGTGTGTGTTTGTGAATATATATATATATATATATATATATATATATATATATATATATATATATATATATATATATATATATATACTAATTTATTAATTTATTGGAATTACTTTATTTTTTGTAATAAAAATAGGGGCATGAAAAGGAATCATTAAAGTTGATGGGTTCATATCTTCCAAAAGATGGAAGCGCTGGTAGTGCTTACCAAGAAGGGGGCGGATTGTATGCTTTAGGTATTTTTTATATCTCATTTCTTTACATTAGTATTTATTATATATTTTTAAGAGTTTTAAATTGCTTTGATATTTATTGAAAAGAATCAATATATCTAGAAAAATTTGTATAAAAACATATTTTTGCAATGGGTAATAGGATATAGTGAATAATATTAATAATCCCAGAATTAGAAATGTATTAATCAGCTCAAAATAAGTTTTTTATTTTTTTATTTGTTAACAATTATGTAAAATGTAAGACTGATTCTGTAAATAATTAGAAGATAAATAATCAATGATTCAATCAATAATCAATGAAGAAATCTTTACTTCTGGTTATTATGATTAAATGAATTTTACAATTATTTTTCTCATGCATTTTTTTATAAAGTTAATTTGAAAAGAAGTTAGTTACTAATGATTCTAATATAAGAAAACAACCATTGATAATTACATGTTGAATTTTTTTCTCTTTTTTTTTTAATGTTAAATTTTTATAGCTTGTGTTTAATTTATTTTTTTAAATTTATTTAGGATTAATTCATGCTAACCATGGCAACAGTATAAAGGAGTACCTTCTTCAGCAACTTAAAAATGCAACTAATGATGTAAGCAGTTATTTTGAATATTTATGTTATTCTTTTTAATAAATTTATATCCCTTAGTTTTATATTTTAAATATATCTAAAAATATAAAATGTTTTACAATCATAATTAAATTCTAAAATTTCTGATCCATTAGTATAACATTAAAAGATGTAAGTAATGTTTTACATACGATTAATTTGACATTAATTTTTATTTACAAGATGGTCAGACATGGTGGATCTTTAGGGCTTGGACTTGCTGCTATGGGAACACAGCAAACTGGTAATACTCAAAGTATTATATAAACATTACTTAAAGTATTATGATAATATAAAAACATTCAATTGTATTATTTAGTTATCTAAACATATAATAAATACATTATAAAATAAATGATAATATTGTTGCTTATTTTTACCATAAAGTGAATTGTTATGTATATTTTATATAGTAAATTTATATGTATATTATAGAATACAATAAAATATTTTTTTATATTTACTTTTTTAAACATAAGTTTACTTTTTATGAAATTTTGCACAATTAAAAAAATTAATTGCACTGGAAAAATTTAGTTTGTAATTAGTTTTGTTAGCTCAAAGTATTTTTTAAAAGTAATCTTCCTTTTATTGTTACATCGTTATTGCAATCGGTGATGGTCACAATATTTTCCCAGGTTTTGCATATCATGTTTAAAGGTTTGCATATTGTGTATTAGTTTTGTTAGCTCAAGTTGTTTTTTAATAATAATCTTCCTTTTATTGTTACATTATTATTGCATCTGGAGATGGCTCACAATATTTTCCTGGGTTTTGCATATCATGTTTAATGGTTTGCATATTGTGTCCAAAAGTAAAGCTACAACTCATTTAATAAAGTGATGAGATTCATCTTAATGTGCATTTTATAGCAAATATAGAGAAAAACAACCTTAGGATTTAGACTTTTTACTTGCAATTTTACAAGTTAAAATTCACAAATTAAATGTGAATTAAAAAGAAAATTTCATTGAATTATGCATATTGCAAAAAAAAGCCAGAACTTAAAATGAATATATATGATACATACTTGACGCAAATATGATACTTCAAAGATGCAGCTACAAAGTTGCATAAAGAATTAATTTAGTAATTTTGAAACATTGATCCAACTTATGAAAAGCAAGATACAAACTAGCAATTAATAACAAGGTTCTTTTGTTAGCACTTGCATTGTTTTATCCATAACAATATATGGAATACATTAATAAAAATACAAAATTTTGCTAAGCAAAAAATATTGCAAAGTAAGAAAAACACTTAAAGAACAAAAACATTTTAGAATATATTTAAAATGCATTCTTACATTTTTTACATTTTACATTTATTACATACATTTTTTTTGCCTAAAAAAGAAGAGCATCATTAGACGAAGCTGTCCAAATATGACAACATTTTTTCATACAAGGATGGATATAAGATTTATAAAGATATCATAGGGTAAAACTAACCTGTCTCACGACGGTCTAAACCCAGCTCACGTTCCCTGGAATCAGGAGTAAAAAAACTGCAATGAAGAGATTTTTTTTTTTTTTTAAACATCTTGGCTTCCAACAAGGCTGCAACCAACCACTATTTAGTGTTGGAAGTTACTGGAAGAGAAAAGATGAAGATTGTAGAGCAAGATAACGATTGATAGATGACTTGAAAGATTGCATGTTATATGAATCAGTAAAGCAAGATAAAGGAAGCGAATTCCAAAGAACTGATGTTCGAGGAAATAAACTAGACGAATAAGAGTTTTTAGAGCACTTAGGAACAGTAACAGAAAAAGGATGAGACTTAATTGAATGATGAGTAACACGAGAATGAATTTTAGTAGATGGCACAAGAGACGCTAGCTCTTTAGAGCAGTGCCCATTATAGTATTTGTAGAAAAGAGAAAGAGAAGCAACATTACGACGATGTGACAGAGGTTGAAGGTTGGCTGTAAGAGCAGGTCCAACTATGTTTTCAATGCGTTTTTGCACCTTGTCTAAAAGAGAAAGAGCTTCGTTAGAAGATCCTCCCCAGATATGACAACAGTATTCCATACAAGACCGGATTTGTGATTTATACAGATAGAGAATAGAATCCAGAGTAAGAAAGTATCGAGCTTGATAAAGAGATGCAACTTTAGCAGATGCTAATTTTGCAACAGATTTGATATATGGTTTCCAAGAAAGATAAGAGTTAATCCTAGAAGATGAAGGGTAGTTGACTCATCAAGTACATTACCATTCATAAATATAGGAAGGTCTAAATTATTGCAATAACGATTTGCTGAAAAAAAGTTGAGTATTATCTGAATTAAAATTCACCAGCCACTGTGAGCCCCATGCTGTGCCAGAAGTAAGATCCTTTTCAAGCTCAAATGCCCCCTCTAATCAATCAGAGAAAGTTGGCTACTTATCATGACAAGAATAAATGGTAGTATCATCAGCGAACAATGCCACCTTAAATGCAAGAATATCTGGAAAATCGTTAATGTTAATTAAAAAGAATATAGGGCCAAGATTGGAACCTTGAGGAACCCCTGAGGTTACAGAATAAGAAGAAGAGTGCTGTCCATCAAGGACAACTTTTATACTAGGATTGGAAAGGAAGGATTCAATAATCTTAAAGATGTTTCCAGATACACTGTAAGAAGAAAGATTATGGAGAAGACCAGTATGCCAAACTTTATCAAACACTTTAAAAATGTCAAGAGTGATGGCCTTAACCTCTCCACCTTTATCTAATGCACAATAAAACCTATCGGTTATTACTGTTAGCAAATCAGCCGTAGAACGAGAAATTCGAAAATTTGTCTTATCATTATTTAGTAAAATTTTACCCTTAGTAAGGCATAATTTTTAACCTATATCTTACTTAAGGTATATCACATATCTTACCCTAAAATTAATTTTTTAAAGTTATATTTTGTAGCTTGATTATTATTATTTTTTATATATATAAATAAAATAGTTTGTGTATAATATTTATGTGTATAGAATAGGCTAATATAATACAGCTTGTAAATAAATGTTGCAATATTATTTAAATTTCTTTTTAATTTTTGTTTTAAAACTTAATGTATTTTATTTAAATTTCTTAATTCTTTTTTTAAAGATATTTACGAGCAATTGAAGTTTAATCTTTACCAAGATGACGCAGTGACTGGTATATTTATTATTGTACAAAATAAACCAAAGTATTTTGTAATTTTTAAATTGTTTTATTATGGTAAAGAGAAGTGTTATGAGCTGTGATAGCTTGATTTAAACCAGGATACTTCCATTAGTGTGCTGCTTAGTTATTGGATTTTCATCTGGGTGTAGCAGCAGTGTCGTGTGGTTCAATCCCTGGCTACCCTACTCATATGAGAGACATGAACTTATACAAGCCTTGAAAATATTTTTTAATTAAAAAATAAATATATTGTTATTATTATTGTTTTTAGGTGGGGGTAAAGGGGTATTTTCAGTTGGGGTACCCACACTTTACATCATTATATAAAATATAGTTTATTTATATTGTAATAATTTATTTTCAAATAATACATCAAAGTAAAATTGCTGTCAACTACTCAATGAGAAAGTTGTAGGAAAACAAATTTATTTTAAAATAAAAAGAAAAACCATCCTATCTGTGCCTTTCTTGAATATGGGACTTAGCAACTCTTCTTTATTTTTTTATCAGGAAAAATAAAGATTTTTCACCATTGGTGGAGCAGTATAAACAGTCAAATGAAATTGGAAAATTCTGAACTAAATTCTTCTGAGTCTTATTATTTAACTTTTTTTAGAAAATATTGAAGAGTCTGAAACCATAATTATAGGTTTAGAAGTTATTCTAGTTGGTTTCCTTGATATTGCACTAAGCTGTTTTTATTATATTATAGGCTACTTACTTACTAAAATGGTTGTCAGTATACGTTGATATGCATCAATGTTCCCCAATGTATTACCAAATATAAAAGTAGGTTAAAGTGTCAAACATTCCTTAAGATAAAAAAAACAATCAAGTTAAAAAAATCCATAATTAAAAAAATTGTCTTTAAATAAAAAAATTTTTTATCTACAATCTGTATGAAGATGATCTCTTATAATATTTTTATCTACAATCTGTATGAAGATGATCTCTTATAATATTTTTATCTACAACCTGTATGAAGATGATCTCTTATAATATTTTTATCTACAATCCGTATGAAGACGATCTCTTATAATATTTTTATCTACAACCTGTATGAAGACGATAAACTTGTTTATACAATCTGATCTCTTATAATATTTTTATAGCAGTTTTAATTAAGCAGTTTTAATAGAACTATCTAGACCAAAATCTTAGCTTTCATCTTTTTTTACCCTGTTTCTTTTGTTCAATTTATAATGTGCTTCAGTTTATGCTAATAGTGTTAGGCATTTTACACTTTAATAAGCATAGTATCCTAGCAACAAGTGTACTTTTAATAGTTTAACTATATTTTCATTTTTTCATTTTTTTTGAAAGATCTTAAAAGATTTATTTGTTATAATAAATTTATTTTTAAATGTTTTTATGTATTAGGTGAAGCTGCTGGTATTGGAATGGGGCTTGTTATGTTAGGTTCAAAATCTAGTCAAGCTGTTGAAGACATGGTCATGGTATAATAATATGTTTACTTTTATTATTACTTCTTAGTTTTACATAAAAATTTTAAAACTTGTTTACATTTTTCATCAAGCATCTTAAAAAAAATGTGATCTGATTTTATGAACATAGGGTGTTCATAAAATCAGTTTTAAAATTCTCGAAGAGGATGGTAAAATTTTTTAACATCCTATTAAAGAGCTTTAGCAAATGTTTAAATTATCAAGTGATTTAATAGGATCAAGATAGTTTGGAAATATAAAGCATTAATATGGTTATAAGCATGTAAATACAGTTTCAATTCAAATTTTTTTAAAACTCATAAAAAGATTTCATTTAAAGATTAAAGTAAATGCAAGAAAAGCTTAGAAAGAATGGAGATATAACACTTTCAGGAAGATAACCTTGTATTGTTGTATTGTTTAAAATGAGTTTTTCAAATTTTCGAATTGTTTAATATGATATCAAACATAATAAAAGTTTAATTGGTTTTCAAAAGCGATGATCATTGTTTTTTACTTTTGTATGGATTTATATGCAAGTTTATAAATTTATGGATTCTTAAAAACAAATTAGTATTTAACAATTTAAATGTTATGTTGATCAAAACTCAAAAGAAATTGTTTTATTTATTGTTAATTTCTTGGTGCAGTTAAGGCGATATACAAATTGTTTGAATTTTTTTATTTGGAATTAGCATGATTTCATCAGCGTATTATGTCCAAACATGATCTTTAGATGTTAAATATTTTTTTTTTGCTCTAAATTTTATAATATTTAAGGAAACTTTTATTTTTTTTTTTTTATATAATTTTCAAAACCTTTTTACTACCCCTAATAGTGAATCTAAAGTAAACCATTTTGGAGTCTTTAGATCACTTACGTTCTTCGACGTTAACATGAACTTGTTTAAAATCTTTTGAAAAAGTGCCTTAACCAACTATAGATCTTAGTTCTAATCGGTTCTGACATATATTAACTATATATAATTGTCAAAGTATAATAATTCTATCAATTTTCACAAAAAATACTAGAATTCCGACCAAGAAAGAGCTTATAATTAAGAAAAATTGCCAATAAACGATCACAACAGATCATATTATTAAAAATGATGTTCATTTAACCTAGAAAATTTTATTTAAAATCTTATTCGAATTTGGACAAGCAATTGTGATTTTAAGAACATTTAAAAAAAAAATCTTTGGTTTTTTCGCTACAAACATTGATATTTTATGGTACCGCAAAGCTTGTCATTTTAATTTTTTTCATCTTTCCATAATTCACAGATCCGATCATTTAACAGAAATATGTCATAGTCAACAAAATATCATACAGATGCTATAATATTTAAAAATTGCCTTAACTACACTGAGTTGGCATGAATATGGGCAAGGCAAAGTTCACAAATTATTTACATATATGTATATACATGCCTGCATACATACGTGAATATGTATAAGTGTGTGTGTGTGTCTATATATATATATATATATATCGTCAGTGCAGAGACTTCCGCAATGGCGGATGCTTATTCATAACGATTTTATAAATAAATTAAAGAAAAACAAAAAAAAAAAAGAAAGAAAGAGAAAGAAAATATATATATATATATATATATATATATATATATATATATATATATATATATATATATATATATATATATATATATATATATATATATATATATATATAAACATTTATATTTGTTTCAGTATGCAAAAGAAACTCAGCATGAAAAGATTTTAAGAGGCTTAGCTATAGGAATTGCATTGGTAAGACATTTTTTAAATTGTTTTAATTCTTTTAAGTTTAAATTATTTTTGATGATGATGATGATGATGATGATGATGATGATGATGATGATGATGATGATGATGATGATGATGATGATGATGATGATGATGATGATGATGATGATGATGATGATGATGATGATGATGATGATGATGATGCAAAAACAAATTTAGTATTCTGTTGAATCAGTATATTATAGTTTACCAATATCCTATAACCCCAAATCAATGCATTTCCTTAATCATGTTTAATTTGTGTTCATTTCTAATTAATAAAATCTTAAATTAAAATTTTTAATTAAAAGTTTTTTTGTTGAAATTTGTTGAAGTTAAAAATGCTACATTAAAGTTCATTAAAACTACATTAAAATTCTGGTCCTACTTATTTTACTTAAATTATTATTTATTAATTATTATTAATAAAATTATTAATTATTATTAATAAAAATTGTTACTTAAATTTACTTATTCTATAAAATATCTTAAGATAAAATTCTACAAGTAGAAGTATTACATTATGGTGAAGTAAAAAAATTTTAGTTTTTCTGAAAAGTTATAAACAACATTTAGCTATTATTTTTTATTGTTTTATTATTTTTTATTTATTTTTATTTATATTATTTTATTTTTATACTATATTTTCTTGATAATTATTATTATTAGTTTTGTTTTGAAGTACTTTATAAATTTTGGTGTAAATATTATTATTTTTTTTTAATTTGTATATTTATATATATTATATATGTATAGAGTACTGCTAAATTTATTATAGATTTCTTCAATTTCATTTAAAACTATTCCAATTTTAGACAGTTATATAATTATGCGTTTCTTCAATTTCATTAAGAAAAATTTCAATTTTAAATCGTATATGCATTTTACTTTATAAAAAAATATTATTTCAATTTTTATAAAGTGAAATGCATACATGCATTTCACTTTATAAAAAAGTGAAATAATATCCTGTGGATCAATTATATAAGGCCTGTCCTTTAGTTTTAAGGTTTTAAATAGTTTTTAAAGTAATTAGTTCTCAAACAGGGCATCATCAGATTGAAAGACATTTATAACTTGGTTTAGACTTTTCAAGTTAATGCAACAGAATGCTATCCAATCTGTTCTACTTTCGATTCTTAACAAAGAAAAACAAGTTTTTCTGGAAATCTACAGAGTTTATCATTTTTATCAGTGACAGATTGAACATGGGTTAAAAAAAGGGCTTGACTCAAACTAAGAAAGACTAAATAGCTGTTTTGTTTTAAAACAGTAGGCTGGAGCTAAAGGAAATTGCAAAAAAACTGAGTGTTTCTATACAAACTGTAAGTTTGATAGAAAAATCTTACAGTTAGTAAAATCATCAGACTTTAAAACATGCTCCTCAAGAGTTGGAAAGTGTGGTCAAAAACAGTCCACTTTTTAATGTTAATTCACCTATTTAAAGTCGAGGAGATTACTATAATTTTGGTTACAACTCTAATTATTTTGATCACTATAATTTAGGTTACAACTAAAATTATAACCAAAATTATATTTTGGTTATAATTTTGGTCTTTCTCAACTCTGAAACTTTGACGAACAAAGCTGTTGCGTAGAGAAACAAGATTTAACTATAAAATACAAATTATGGCCTAAATGAACAGAAAAATCTCCTGTAAGAAAATCGTGATGCAATTAGATGATGAAAATATACTTTTAAGTCATCAGACAGTGAACAACCATCTTTCAACTATATTGACAGAGAAAAACCCAGGTTGACAAATTGAATTAAGGCTCAGCGATATGAGTGGGTCAAAAAGAATGAAACAGGGACAGAAGAAAATTGGAGCCAGGTAAAAATACAGACACCCATTTATTAGTAATTTCTGAACATATTACTGGCATGGTTTTGACTGAAATTAAAAGTTATGCACAATATGATTTTATATATGAGAATATCAGAAGTCCTGAAGGGTTCACAATTGCGATCTTAAATGAGAGAGTTCAGACAGTTCAAAGAAAGTCAGGAAAAGAGTTTAAACCTGATTGCTTGAAGAAGACTGTGAAATTTCCAACAAAAAAAAAGAGGATTGTATCTGTGTACAGCAGAAGTGAACGATACATTGTTAAAGGGACAATAGATCAGAAAACATTAAAGAAAGTTATCTAGTTCCTCAAGCCAGGGAGTGAATTAGCGATAGAAAATGAATTTTTTAACAGGATCGTGCCCCATGTCATACTGGAAAAATATTGAAGCAGTGGTTTGCAAAAAGTTCTATAAAACTACTTAAATTGCTCAAAAACTCTCCAGACATCAGAATTTATTTGAGAACTTATGGAAACAACTGAAAGATGAGATTCACACTGTACCCGTAACAACAAAAACCAAACTGATTTAACAGATGGTTCAGGTTTTATACTGAAAAAATTAAAGAACTTTATCAAAGTTTGATTTTGTCTATGCCTAACCGCGTTAGTGCCCTAAAATTGGCTAAAGGTGGCCAAACTAATTACTGAAAAGTTTGGTGGATCGTTTTAAGTTGATATTAAATATGTTTTTATTACTTAATCATGAAAATAAAGCAAAAGTATTATAAATTTGAAAAATCCACAATAATTTTTTTAGTACTGTATGTGTATATATATATGTATATATATTTGATGCAGATCATGTACGGAAGGATGGAAGAAGCTGATGAACTTATTGAGGCTTTACTACAAGATAAGGTATATAAATTGAACTGTTTTGTTAACGCCAAATAAAATTATGGTTAACGTATTTAAGTTGAATTAATATATTTAAAGTATTAGTCTATAATATTATAACGCATAACTCTTTCAATCACGTAATTGTACGGTTTTTGAACTATTTTATGATATATACCTTGATATATAGTTTTAATTATATATATATATATATATATATATATATATATATATATATATATATATATATATATATATATATATATATATATATATATATATATATATATATATATATATATATATATATATATATATATATATATATATATTTCTTTATATACTTAATTACAAAAATTAGTTGTTGGCTTGTGTTGTCTAAATAATCTAAATAAAAATTTTTGTTGCTGAAAAAAATTTTATACATGGTGTTTTCAAAAAAGATTTGTTATTAGAAATAATGAGTTGATTTCTCAGTATCCAAAAATCCTATTTATTGTAGACTTTTTCGTAAATTTATTATTATATAATGCAATTATTCATTACTTATTTTTAAGGATGCAATTTTAAGAAGAAGTGCAATGTATACAATATCAATGGCTTATGCTGGAACAGGAAACAACAAAGCAATTAGAAAGCTTCTTCATGTTGCAGTTAGTTTTAATTCTTGTTACTTTTAGAGAGCTTATGTTTAGATAAAAATAAAGATTTTTTTTTTATTATAGGTTAGTGATGTAAATGATGATGTTAGACGAGCTGCTGTTCAATCATTAGGATTTTTGCTTTTTAAGTAAAAAAAGTATTATGCTTTATCCGAGTTACATTTGCTATATTTTATTTATAGTATAACATTTCTTGGTATTGTTTAGAACTCCTGACCAAGTTCCTAGTGTAGTATCGTTACTCTCAGAAAGTTATAATCCTCATGTTAGATGTGGAGCAGCAATGGCTCTTGGTATTGCTTGTGCTGGAACAGGATCTAAAGTAAATATATTAATAATAAAAAGAAAAGAAGCTTGAGTTTATATTAATATTTGAATTTTATATTGATAATTTTCATGTGTGCAATTGTTAAGTTGTATATTTTATTTTTATAGTGTATATAATATTTAAAGGTTATAAAAGTTACAACTAATATTTTATTTAAATTATTTTTAGGAAGCTATCAGTTTAATTGAGCCTTTGATGAAAGATTCTGTCAATTTTGTCAGACAGGTAAAATTTAATGTTTTAACAAAAAGTTTCTTTATTGCAAACTTATTTTCTGATTGATATATCGTTGACTGTTGGATTGAGTTTGGGCAAGTTCAATGTACATAAGGGCATTTACTTTTACAGATATTTTGCTGGTTTTTACAGTATGAAGGGCATATATGTATCTATGTATTTATGCTGTTTTAGATTAAATAGTGTTGACTTAAACCAGCAAAATTAAAATGTGTGTATATATATTTATTAATTATATTTCATACTATTATTATATTTCATATTTATGTTTATTAATAGTTATATACTATTTCTTGTAAAAAAAATTTCTCTTTCACTTATTTTCTAGTATGCTTTGATTGCGTCAGCATTGATTGCTATCCAACAGACAGAAGTAACATGTCCAAAGGTATTAAAGTTATCATTTATGTTTAATCAAGCATTTGAGTTATATGAAGTAATCTGATTCTTTTTTTAAATAAATTTTTTTATAAATAATCTAAAATTAGTATTATATTTATATTATTAGTTTTATAATTAAAATAAAACTGACAAATGATATTTTATATTACTTAGTTAATAACTGTAATTTTGATGTAGTTTCACTCAGAAATTTTGTTTTGTTTCAGAAAATTTGTGAATTTTGTTTCTAAATTAGTTTAACACTTAATATTTTATTTTTACAATTTATTGATGAAAGTAAATTTAAAAAAAAAATTAAAAGATTTTTAAAATATTTTACTTTGATCAATAAATTGAAAAACTAAACAAAGGTTTTTGCAACTTTACTGAAATGGCAAGTCATACAGGGTTGTGAAATGGTAAGTCACACAAGACTGTGTTTTAGTTAAATACATAAAAATAGTTTCTGATCTAAAAGATAATATTAAAACCAGTCATTCTCAATACCATGTTTGTTGAGTACGACCAGTACAGCAGGTCTATTAGGCAATTATTGTTAATTGCCTAATAGACCTAATAATAATTAATATTAATATTTAGTACTAGTAGTAATATTATAACTGCCTAATAATAATTAATATTAATATAATTAAACACCAATTGATGGATAATTAAACACCTATTGAATGAAACAACAACTGGAACACAAGAAGATTCTACGCCTTTTTTTTGGAATATAATTACATACATTATCTACCTATTCAAAGAGAAAAGAACAAAGAAAATCTAGAAATATGAGATATAGATATGTGTTACCGGTTAATAGGCTGTCTCTTAGAGGAAAAAGGCAGTATATTTAACCGAACTTGTGAAATTGTTATAGCCATGCTATACAGCTATTATATTTAATGATCTCCAAAATGATTTTGTTTCTTATAAAAATTTGTATATGTATTAAAAAAAGTAAAAGTAACGTTGATTTTTATTCCAAAAGTGTCTTTGACTACTGTGCATTTTTTTAAGTATTTTTAAAAATGCACGGTAAGTTTTTTTAAGTATTTTTAAGTATTTACACTAGTGTAAGTACTTTTTTTTTTTTTTTTTTAAGGCAAAACAAATTAGAGAATCATATGCAACAATAATTGCTGATAAACATGAAGATAGTATATCTAAGTTTGGTGCTATTCTTGCTCAAGGAATTATTGATGCAGGTTAACAGTTATTATATTTAAAGGTTTTTAAATTATGTAATAATTGTATTATCCATGATTTTATTTCTTTATTTTTATGAAAGTCTAAATAACCTGCAAAACTAGCTCTAGATAACCTTAGTTTGTATTTTCCAAAAAGAGTCAAGTTGCTAAAAAGAAACCCTGTTTTTCGGCTTTTTTTTTTTTCATGGATTTTTTGTAGCTTTTTTGAGTTTTTTTATTTTATTTTTATGTATCAGCCTTTTACAAATTTGTTTTGTGTTTTAATTTATTTGTTAGACATTTTCATTTCTGTGCATTGTCTTTTATTTTTCCTTATTTTAACAATTAGAAGCTAGAACTTAAAACAATATGCATACTATAATGATTTTCTTAAAGAATAATTGTAACAAAAAAAATTTTCTCATATTTTAGGAATGAATAAATTAAATATATCTATTTTTATCATTTTATTTTTTTGTGTGTTTATGTCACAATAGTTTGAAAATTGTACAATAATATTTAATATTTGATGACTGCTATTTCTCATCAAAAATATTATATATGATGTGTAGAAATATGTTTCACTTGAAATACTCACTAGCAGTTTACTTTTATAAAAATAACTACATGAAATCAACATTTTTGCAACTTCCATGCATGACTTTTGTGCATTATCATTCATGAGCTTCATTTAAACAATATATGTGACTTGATGGTACATAGAGCAATTCTGTAACTTTCTGGAAATCTTTACTAATATATTAAATATTATTTAAAAAAAGAGTATACTGCTTTTTGCAAAATTTGCGGGGGTTTTTTATTCCATATGTGATTCCGCTTTAAACTTAATTTGTTTTTTGACAACATTACTTATGTATACCATTTTATGTTTATAAAATATTTATATAGGTTTGAATTAAATAAAATTAAATTGGAGATTGCCAGTTTTAGTTTTATTAAAATGATAGAAAAAACATATATGAGTTTCTGTACGTGTTTTTTTGGAAATGTCCTTTTTAAAAATGTTTTCAACTTTTTTTCAAAAGTTTCAAATTAGATTTGGCATTTTTTTCCATTTAAAAAAAAGAAAAAAGATTTTTGTCTCTATCTCTATATTATGTCTCTGCCCTAGTCTAGAGTCCAAGTTAGAGAAATCAAGTTAAGAATTAGTGTATCTTCTCAGATAGATTGTCAAGAAAGTTAGTTACAGTCAGTAAGCAGTTTATACTGTCTATAAGAAACCAATGGTACTGAATTTGACTTAATTGATGCAGCTTTGCTGAAATGACAAGTCACACAGCTTCCATTCAATAAATTTAGCATTATAACACTATTCATAGCTTGTTTCACATAATGTGGTTTAATTTTGGGCACTTGACAGAAGTATTTCATGAAAAATGATTTCAATGAAATAAAATCAGTGACAGATAAATTAATTGTTTTGCTCAACCCATTACAAGGGCTCAGGCAATTGTCTAGTTATGGTAAAAAAAGTTTCTCATAACTCTTTACGGCAGAGTAAAAAATAGCAACAAATTTAAAGCATTACATTTTTACATACAAGCATTACAAACATTTAAGTTCCTGGTAACTGGTTTCTGAAAACCAAAATAAAAGTTGTGTTTGCAGGTTTTAAAATCATGTTATTAAATAAATGCTGAAAATGGGAATCAGTTTCAGTATATGTATAACTAATTTAAAAAATCAAGAAGAAGTTGATAATTTAATTGAAGTCTTATTAATTAAAGTCGAGAAACAACTTTACCCCTCATTAGTTATGGAAAGTGAATAATAATGACCCTGTTTTGAAGATTATTTATGCAAATTTTATTATCCTAAATTACTCATTATATTTTATTTCAATGTAGCTTGTGTAAAAATAGTTAAAAACAGTCTTAGAAGTAAGCTGAGCCAAAAAATTTTAAGAAAGTTTTAGAAAGCTTGATGATGATCATAACATAAGGTCTGTGTTTTAGAAAGCTTGTTGATGATCATAACATAAGGTCTGTGTTTTAGAAAGCTTGTTGATGATCATAACATAAGGTCTGTGTTTTAGAAAGCTTGATGATGATCATAACATAAGGTCTGTGTTTTAGAAAGCTTGTTGATGATCATAACATAAGGTCTGTGTTTTAGAAAGCTTGATGATGATCATAACATAAGGTCTGTGTTTTAGAAAACTTGATGATGATCATAACATAAGGTCTGTGTTTTAGCAAGCTTGTTGATGATCATAACATAAGGTCTATGTTTTAGAAAGCTTGATAATGATCATAACATAAGATCTGTGTTTCACAACGATGTGCTTCAGTTCTTGAAACATGAATATCAAAATATGAGAATTAAGTTATTTGTTAATCCAAATAAGTCAAGTTTTACAGTGGCTGAAGCCATTTAGTGATTATTTTATGTTTGTTAGTTTTCTATAAATTCACTGTATATTTATGGTTATTTCTTTGTATTCCATCTGTTTCTTCAATTTTTGTATTTATAGCAGTTTACTATAGTTTTAAGAATCATTATCTCCTACATTAAATAGTTTTAAGAATACATTAAATAATCTTGGATAATCAGTATTAGATATTAGACTCTAGTTTTGTTGTTGCTTTAAACCAAATCATGACTAGAATAAATAAGCTTAATGTCAAGAAATGCTCATTTAAAATGCACATAACATCTGAAAGCTATTAAGTTTTAATGAGTTTTTTTACTTATCGCCACATATGCAAAATATATTTAATTAATGCAATTTTAAAACACAATCAATTTAAAATCTATTTAAAATTTATTTAATAATAATTATATCATAAAATTAGATCATTTAAAAAAAGTCAATCCTGACATTTAAAATGTTTAAAATGTCATTTAAACCATGGATATTGTTTAAAAGTTGTCATAAAAGTTTAAAACTAGTCAACATTTTCTTTTTTTACAAAATTTGCATTTTTAATAGGAAAATATATTTACTACCATCCATATTTATTGTAAACAATTGTTTAAATTTTTTAGAAAAACTATATTTTAAAGCGACTAATGCAATTTTATTTGGATTTTGTCACAATGTTTAATTAAGGAGTTAGCAAATTATAATGATTGACAACAATATGTTTAATTAAGGAGTTAGTAAAGTACAATGATTGACAACAATAGGTTTAATTAAGGAGTTAGCAAAGTACAATGATTGACAACAATATGTTAAATTAAGAAGTTAGTAAAGTACAATGATTGGCAACAACAGGTATAATTAAGGAATTAAAGTATAATGATTGGCAATTAGTTATAATAAATTGAGTTAAAATAAAAATGATTTAAATTTTTATCAAATTTTGTTACTAAAAAATTTAATTACATTGTTACAAAATAAATAAAATCTATATAACATTAAAAGTGTTTCACAAAAAAAAGTGACAGAATAAAAGCCAATTTCATTATAAGTTCTGAATTATACTAAATAAGTATAAACAGAGAAAAGTGTAAACAGCGATAAGTAAATCTCTTTATGTAAAAGAGTATGTAATATAATAAGAGAGTGGTAAGTTTTTTCATTATTGATTATATTAATTTTATTAGACTTATAAAATAGGAAATTCATAGAAAATTTATAAGTTAAAATAAAATTTATTATACAAATAAACAAAAATCTAAATAAAAATTGCCTAATTATTTTTTTAACAATTTATAATTTGACTATTATTATTGTCTTTTTTACATAGGTGGCAGGAATGCAACAGTATCTTTTCAATCGCGCGCTGGTCAAAATCATATGCCAAGCATTGTTGGAATTTTTGTTTTTTCACAATTTTGGTATTGGTTCCCTCTTTCACATTTCTTGTCACTAGCGTTCACTCCCACATGTCTAATTGGTCTCAATACAAATTTAAAGGTCAGTGTGTTATTGAAAAATTTTAGTAAGCATTATATATAACATGAAATGTTATTAGGCATTGTGCACAAAATAAAAATTGTTTAAATGTTATATATATTTAGTAGTTTTTAGTTATTTTCCAATAATGTATGTAATATTTCCAATGAAATATTACATACATTATTGTGTGATAGTACTATATTAGTATAACAAAACATAACATAGCTAAACTTTCAAGTTAAAACACACAAAAAATGTCAATCATTTTATCACTCAATGATGTTCTCAACTTTGTAAAAAAAAAAATCCACCAGCACTAAAACATCTTTCAGCAGCACTAAAACATCTTTCTGCAGCTCTAAAACATCTTTCTGCAGCACTAAAACATCTTTCTGCAGCACTAAAACATCTTTCAGCCTGATGATGGTGATAAAGCCTTTAAAGCACAGTACACTTTTTAAAATATTTTAAAAAAAACTTTTACAAATTTTTACAAAATACCATTTTTCTGTTTATTAGATTTGACAAAAAAATTAATTGATTTTACTTAATTAATATCAATTTATCTGAGTTGTTTAAACAATTACCTAAGTTACTTGAAGCTTGTAATTAAGTTACTTGATTACTTCTAATTCAAAGTTAACAGCCAAGTTACTGATAGTAAAATTAAAGCTAAAGAATTTTTTTATGTAATCTGATATTTGATCTGTTTGTGTATATTTGTATATTATTTATAGTACTTTACAGTTTTATTGTAGTACTGTTTATTACTGTACTGTTTTATCATAAAATATAAGTAATGTACTGTTTAGGAACTAAAATATTTTAGTTCCTAAACAGTTCATAATGTATTGATGTATAAACTTACTAAATAGTTTGCATTGTATTGATGTATAAACTTTACTATTGTTGTTTTATTTAGATGCCTAAACTTCAACTACGTTCTAATGCTAAACCATCAACATATGCATATCCCGAATTATTACAACCTCCAAAAAAAGAAGAAAAAGAAAAAGTCAGTACAGCTATTTTGTCAATTTCTCATAGAATGAAAGGCCAGTATAGAAAAGGTCGTTTTGAAGAGCCAATGGAACAGGTATGAGTCTTGACAAACTGAATTGAGCAAGAAATATTTTCTGCTTTATTAATTTTTTTATTTAAAAATATTAACTTAGGAGAAGAATACTGAAACTAGTTCTAAAGTGGAACCTGGATCTGACAAAGAAAAAGAGTCTGCAAATAGTATTGAAAAAGATATAGATGAAACTGATAAGGGTGATAATAAAGAAGGGAAGGATAAAAAAAAAGATGAACCTGATTTTGAGATATTAGAAAATCCAGCTCGTGTTATGCCTGCACAACTTAAAAAGTTGACTATGGCTACAGACTGTCGATATCAGCCATTAAAACCTGTAAGTTTTTTTTAAGTTAAAGATTACAGTGACCAATATAGTCATAGTGATTAACGCTAATATGTTTATTTTAGTTGTTATAATTCTGATATTTATTTATTTTATAAAACAGTATATATTCTTTTACATACTTGTGTTCAGAGTGTGACCTTATTACTTTTTTTTTTTTTTTTTTTTAATTTAGTCTAGCTATCTATTTTTTAATGAATTATTTACAGCAGTGTGCTAGTTAATGTGATCATAGGTTTGCAACCTCAGAAAATCATTTAAACCTTTAAAACAAAAACAAAAAAAACCTTTTAAACAAATAAACATTTTTTTATTAAAAATAACAACATTTATTTAATAATTATTTTATGTGTATCGACCATTATTTATTACTTCAGATATTTTTCTTGGCATGGATTCTATAATTTTTTTCTTTATAGTTTTCTTTGATTTTGTTGTCTCAAAACCACACCTGTAACACTGCCTTTATCATACTTCTTTTGTTTGTTTAATCCACATAACTAAGATAGCCGCCTAATGCAAGATGCCATTGTATGTGACTATGCAGTGTTGCAATCATAAAAAATTCTTTATTTTGCACATGTTCACATCAAGTCGCACACTTCTTTATTATTAAGTAAATCATTAAACAAAACATAAAGGAATGGATATATATACTTATTGGGTTCAGGTAAAAAACAATTTTAGAATCTAAAAAAACAAAACACCCTAAACTTAAAGCAAATATGTTAAAGTTATATCTAAAAAGTCATATTGGATCATTTTTTCTTTTCTCTCAAAATGACTAAAAACAATTTCTTTTTGAGTTGTAAGCCCAGTTGATAATATTTTTGATTTTCAAATGTAAATTTTAAATGCTATTTATATTAAATAGAATTACACAGGCCTACAAAAAAAAACTTATTTCCTGTTGCATGAGATATTTAAACTGATTTTTATATATTTTTAAATGCTGAATCCAAAAAGTGGGCTCCACATACTGTGAGCCATATTTGTGAAGAAAGTCTTCATGATTGGACAAAAGGAAAAAAAACACTTACCTTTTGGTGATCATGCATTTACATGATCTACAATCTTTTTAGTAAAACATGATTTTGTTATTAATCAATAAAAAAGTTGATAACTTTGCTAGGACTTGGATATTTATAAACAGTTTAAACAGTTTCCATTTTATTTTCATCTGTTTTCTGCTTTTGTTTTAGTTTTGTAAACAACTATTTATTGTAAAAAATATATCCTAACATTTCCATATGAGTTTCAAATCTGTATTTTAAACTATTTCTAATGTTTTGCAAAATAAAAAAACATTGCAAAAAATCTGTAGCTTTGCATAAAATTTAATGCAATAAATTTTTTGTAGACCTGTGTTATCTATGACAATAAATATAAAAATTGAAAAAAAAAAGTTGTATAAATTGGGCAAGACAGTAGGTTGACAACTAATAAAATAAAGAAATTTTGTTATTTCTTTATTTTATCTTAATCTTGTCATCGTCTTAACTATTTATTATAGTTCGTTATTTTAGATACAGTAGTTTATTTTAGATTTTCAGCCTCTAATATTATAATTGATATTATATACAACACCTGCAATCTAAACTTTCAATTTGAACCAGCTAATAACATTAATTTTGTAAATTTCTCTCAGTAAAAAAGTTGAAAGATGGGTAGAATCTGTAAATATGTTTTAGCTAAGATCAAGAAAAAGCTGTTTGTTTGCAATTCTTTTTTTTAAATCATAAAGTTATTACAGGGTTTTCGGAGTTTTTTAATCTTTTTGAAGGGTAATTAAGTATTTTTAAATAATTATTTAATCCCTTTAAAAAGTAATTTAATCCTTTTAAAAAGTTTTTTTTTTTTTAATTTTGATCAAAAATGCATGTTCATAAATTAATGCAGGAAGATAGTAATATTCAAAGAGAACATTCAGAAACATGAATTTAACAAATAATATTAAGCAGATAAAAATGCCAAATTTGCCAATGGTCGCTAGAAGGCAATATAATACAATTACAAATGTACAAAGGAGACAAGAAAGTTTTAAGATCATAAAGGACCAAAACAAATATCCAAAAAGCTTGAAATAAATGTTAAAACTGTTAAGTCAATCATACATCTTTTTAAAAGAATTTGTTGGAGGTCCTCAAAAGTTGAATGGTGAGCATATTGAATTCATTAAAGATAAAATTGAAACCGATTGTTCAATAACTCTTAAGAAATTAAAAACTAAACATTTTGTCAACAATAAATTAAATTAGTTGTTGAAAAAAATATTAATGTATCTTTAACAAATATAAATAAAGCCATTTCACAATATAATTATTCTTTTAAACGTTGTCAGCTTATTCCAGCCGTAAGAAATGCAGTCTAATATTGAAACATAATTATTGTTGTGAATATTTGGCTCTTAATGATGAAAATATAGTTTTTTGGTTGAATTTGTTATAAGTACATCGACTTAAAAACAAATATGAAAGAAGTGAAGTAAATGCAATACTGAAAAAGGTGTTTGGAACTATACGAATGAAAAATCAATCCGTTCTAGATGCAGTTTCAAAATCAAGAATTTTAAGTTATCAAACAAAGGATGGCGCTTACAATAAACAATCTTTTTTGTCTTTTTGCCTTAATGGTCTTAACAAATGATGGATTTATAGACACAATATTCATAAAAACTATTCTATTCATAAAGGAGACGATGTTTGGAGAGTTAGAGAATCACAAGGTTTTCGTTTGTTGTATACACCATCATATAGCCCTTAATTAAATCCAATTGAGGAGGTATTTTCCAAAAGGAAAAATATAATCAAATCTAAAAATCCGAATACCAATGAAGAATTAGTAGCATCTATTTTAAATGGAATTAATGGGATTACAACAAATGATTGTATTGGTTTTTTTTAATCACGCCAGGGAGTTGGCTGTTAAAGGTATTCGAATAGGAAGTTTTTAGTTAAAAATTTAAAGTGTAATTTATATTTTGTTGATTTTAATATAAATTTGATAAATAGAAATCATTTTCTCACAAAACATAACATTTAATGTAATTACCTTACTGAGATTAAATTACTTTTTAAAAGGATTAAATTATCTTTTAAAAAGATAAAATAGTTATTTAAAAAGAATAAATTACCTTTCAAAAAGATTTAAAAAATCAGAAAACCCTGTAAGAAAAGTTAACATTCTCATACGCTACTTGATCAAAAACACTTTTTATGTTTGAACACTTTTATGTTGGTTTTAATTGATGTAAATTAACAGAATTCCAGAAATTATTAAATTAGGTGGAACTAATATTATTGTTTATAATTTTCAAATTTTGTGATAAAAGCTATATAATTAACAATTTTTAGTAAAATTGTAATTGAATTTAAACACCTGTTCAACAATTTTAGTATAAAATATCATAATGTAAAAAATGTAAAAAGAAAAAAGCATTTCATAATTTTTTAATATATTAATCTATTAGCTTTTGCAGTAGCTTTAAAATTTTCAGGATTTTCAATAATGTCAAAGATATTGTGATTGTTCCTCATTAAATTAATTAATTCTTTATTAAAATTACTTCCTCATAGGTTTCTGTAGGAGGAATCATTATTATGAAAGACACAAAGAGCAATGAAGCTGAAGATTTAATTGAACCTTTACCTGGTGTGTTTTTTTTGTTGTTGTTGTTTTGACATTTTCTTTGAAATGATATTTTAAATTATTGATTTTTAAAAGTTTCTAAAAGTTGTTTCTGTGTGTATATACATATATATCCACAAAATATACATGTATATATACTTTGTCTGTGTATATACTTGTATATTTTGTGTATATACATATATATCCACAAAATATACATGTATATATACATACATATATACATACATATGTATGTATGTATATATATACGTGTATATTTTTATATATGTATTTGTATTTATATATTAGACTGTTTCAGCTGCCCAATGATTTTTGAAAAAGTAACAAGCCTAACTTTTTTGGCTTCATATAAAATTGTTTAGTGATAGCAAAGTTTAAAAGTTTTTAACAAAATTGGCTACACCAAACAAAATAAAAGTAATTGCTACAGAGTGTACTTAAAAATTTTAAGTATAGTATATTGTTGGATACAAAGAAATATTACATAAATCATTTTTTTTAATTTTGTTGTATTGGCTGGTTTGGCACTTAACCAACCATATTTCTGTTTTTTTTTTTCAATTTGCACATTGTTCTGGAGTTTTGTTTTTATTCCTGTTGCCATAACATAATTACTAACTTTTACTCAGTTCAGTAGTTACTTTTATGATCAATAGTTTACTATATTAGGAAGTTTCTCAAAGATTTTATCCAGGTGTGTGCACACACTTAATTTTGTCTAAACGATTTAAAGAAAAAAAGATGCAGATGTAACAAATGAGACTTGGCCATAAAGTGAAATTTAATATTACGCTGAACAGAAAATAAATTCAAAAATCCATCAAAAAATAAGTTTACATTGTAGAACCAATATATATATATATGCTTTATATATCTGTATGCTTTAGGGCAGTTCAAATTGAAGAAATACCTCTACTCAATAATTTGTACTACAAATTATTGAATCAAATAAAAATCTAAGAGCAGTAGATGTGATCTTGTTTTAATAACTTTGGATGGTTTTAGAATATCATATAGTATAAACACTGTTGTTTTTTTTGTTTCTGTTTGTTTGTTTTTTTGTGTTCTGCAAGTATGCTATTTAGTTTCATAACTACATCCATGTTTATTTGCGACATAATAAACTTGTTTTTTCTCTTTCAAGAACTTGTTATAACATCTTGTCATATTTAATTATTTTTTTTTCTCATGGGTTCTTTTTTGTTCAGCAATTTTTATTTCATGATACTTTATGTTCATAAGGCTACATCCATGGTCAGGTTAGGCCTTCCAATTAGTCAATAATGCTTAATAGAGACACTGTTTGCCCTCTATATTAATCAACTTTTCTAGCAACTCTTGTGACAAAATTTCATTTTACTTTGTGAGCTTGAAGTATTTTTGTTATTGTTTCTATGGCATAGTAAATTTTTAACCAGACTTTTTATCTCATCCAATAACGTAATAATTTTTCTGTCATTTTTTTTGGCTTAATTGATTCTATTCTTGATTGATTATAAAATGGTAGAACTGAGTTAGCTTTCTTAGTTTTTGTGGTAAAGTATGCAAGAAAACAGAAACACCTGACAAGCAGTTTAGATCCTGGTATATTTTTGTCAATATCAAGAGGAAATGGTTTCCAGTATGAATTATCATAGATCTTTTGATTTTTCCATTTTTCGTCTAAAATGTCAATATTTTAATGTTAATATTTAAAAGTAATTTTTAAATGAGTTATTTATGTGCTTATATAATGGTAAAAAAAACTTCAATTTCAGATAACACTATTGATCAGGTTGTTTTAACTGTTTATTTCATCCCAGTATGTTCACACAGGCATTTGCAAAAAAATTTTCCTGATTATACAGGGATTATCTTTTTCCGGATATTTCCGGAATTCCGGATATTTCCGGAATTCCGGATATTTTCCTTAACTTTTAGTTTTTCAAGATATCCAAAACGTTTTCCATACACACAAGTTAACGTATATATTTTTGTAATATACTTCTTTTTTAACCTTTTTCACTCATCACTCATACAAAACTAAGAAAAGTTTGAAAAAAATTAGAAACATTTCAGCTAAAAGCAAAATTAAGAGGAAAACATACTCCAGATTTTTTTCGTATATTTTACTAAAATAATTTTCCGGATTTTTAAAATATGGTCTGGATGATCTATAATTATAGTCAAATGTTAAAAAAAGTTAATCTTCAATCAAAGTTAAAAAAGTTAAACTTCAATCAAAATACGCTACTTCGAAATGTTGTTAAATTTTTTTTAGAAATTTTCAGATTTTTAAAATTAATTATAAACTAAGCCCTTTTTAAATTACTTCTCTTCATGGAAACATTCAAAACAATTGTATTATTTATTAGTAATATTTTGAGACCACTAAATGGTATTATCATTATTAATCCAATTATTTTTACAAAAAAACTCGTTAAAAAAAACATTCTATTGACGTCAATTTTTAGTCTGAATAAAACACATCATTGGTTTCTAAAAGCCAGATGGTTATAGATTAACAGATCTGTAACCACCTGGTTACAGATCTATAGGTTGAGATTGTATGAGTTCACAAATTTTTTTAAAAATACAAATCCAGAACATGTTTTATCATTGAAACTTATTTCCTCATTAGCCGCAAATAACATTTTAAGAACTAAATAGCATAGCATTTTTACTGTTCATCTCAAAAAACTTCATAAATGGACTATCCTATCAGTTTTTAATGTGATTGAAACCAAATCTTTTGTTGGTCATCACTGACAGGATGAGAAAATTAAATTTCTATTGCATTTCCTTTATGTTCCGTTATAGTAATTTTTTTTTTAACAGTAACTTCATTTAATTTTACACTTTCTGGTCCAGTTTTAGAAGTTCTTGCTCTAAGCTGGAGTAAGTGATTTCAAACTATTCTTTTTAAGAGATTTTTTCTTGAGGCTGAAGACATTGACTTTTCCATTGTTAGTTATAACAACTTCACGTGAAAGAGATTAGATATGTTATGTTTAGTTTAAATGAATTATTAAATATTAACTAATTTAGGTTTTCTTGTTATAACATAAAGGTTAGGTTTTCTAGTTATAACATAAAAACGATAATTATAGGAATTAATTTATTTATTAAGACTGGACATATTATCTAAAATAACAAAGTTGAAATAAGGTTAGAAATAATTGTTTTAAACATGGGTCTTTTGAAGTATGTTTTGTAATTATCTGGTAGCAGAACCCATAAAAGTTTCATTCGATATAAATTTCATTACATTCCATTACAAACTTAACTGGAATGTAACTCCGTTACATTCCAGTTAAGTTTTTGCAAGCTAACACGTTTGATTAACACTTTTGGCAAATTCTTTAAAAGATTTATATGATTTAATATTACCTGCGTCATCTGACATAAAAGGAAAAGTTTATATCTTTAGAGATAGAAGGAACTGATGCTCGCACTTTGTGAATAAATTAGAATTTTTAACCGGAAAATTTGTAAAATTCTGGGAAAAAAAAATTCTTTCGAAAGGATATTGATATTGAGAAATTAACTTTTTTCGTACCGAAATCAACAAAATATTTTAAATTGCCAATGTTCATTTTGCAAGTACTCATTTCAAAATGTAGCATTTCGCAAATTGAATTTCAAAATAAAGCCTTTTTTGCTACATACAAAATTAGCGTTTTCGGATGCATTTGCTTTTGCATTTGAAGAGCACAGGGGAAAAAACAGCATAGTCACATTTAAAAAGTTTTAAGAAAGTATATATTAATCATTTATAAAAGTTCTAACTTTATACTTTGTAAATAGTTAGGGGGAAAAATTTTTTAATAAAAATTACAAAAATTTTGTTAAAATTGTTAACTTTAAATAAATTCACGAAAAAATTTTCCCCCTTTTTTCCCCACTTTTAGACTTCTTTGCTTTACATGAAGACTTTTGTAAATGATCAATAAATATTTTCTCAAAACTTTTTAAATGTGACTATGCCGTTTTTTCCTGTGTGCAAAACGAGCGCTTTCGCTAAAAGACGTTTCGAGGTCCATTCCGATAATTTGTTCACTAAATGGATTAAAATTGTAAAAATTATACATTTTTATGTGCCAAAATGTTTGTAATTAAATGTTATTTTCAGAATCATTAAATATTAACAGTATAAAAATTTACTTTTTGAAACAATGATTAAAAATAAAAATTTATGTCAAAATGAATTCTTTCGCAACAGTAACTTGCGGAACAGTGTTTTTTTTTTTTTTTTTTGAGAAATCTTAGGAAACACGCCATTATAGATGTTTTTAATTTTGTTTTATGAACCAAAATTGTGTAATTAACTCTGTAACTAAGTGCTATTTATTTACTGAAATTCATAAGTGCCAAATGCATATACAAATTTTTATAAATAACGGTATTCATAATATATACTTCCAAAATGTAATTTAACAAACAAGAATAAAGTAATGTAAATAACATGAATCACGCTAAAGAAAATTTAAACCAACTGAAAAGGGGATGAGAGTATAATACCCCCCCCCCCACCTTTTCCCCATCGATCCATCTGATTTGATGATTGCTATTTTTTGTTTTTTTATGTTTAAAATAAATCAAGTGTTGTAATTATTTAGTTTTTACTATATTTGCTACTATATATATATATATATATATATATATACATTAGGGTCATTCCATACCAAGTGGTCCAGAGATCCTCACTTGGCCATTTCAGATTTTGTCAGTATGTAGTTAAACATGTTTCATGAACATTGCCCAAGTTTCCGGTCAAAATGTTTGTTATTTCAGATTTTGTTTCAACTTTATAAGATATTATTCGACAGTGGAGTCAGAAAATATATTTCACTATATATTACCAGAAAACAACCAAACCAACATTGAAAAATATTACTTAAATCGATGAAGTACAATTGAAAACATTAACAGTAGTTCGTTCTCTGACGTAAAACATTAACAATAGTTCATTCTCTGACGGAAAACATTAACAGTGGTTCGTTCTCTGACGGAAAACATTAACTGTAGTTCGTTCTCTGACGGAAAATTATTTTCTAATAAAGAATAATCATCGTCGATTGACGTTTTTTTATGAAATATATGCATCAGTTTATATATGTAATTATATATGCATCAGTTTATATTATTATTTTTTGAATTTTGATTTTTGCTTTTGAAAATTTTTATTCGAATCAAAAGCAGTGCGAAGTCAGCAATCATTTGCCAAACTTTTGTTTTCCTTATTCCGAAGACTGATATGTTTATATACATATATATTATATAGTAAGTTAATATTTTTTTTTTGTTCATAGCATTTACTGCATCGACAGCAGACGATGAAAACGATGAACCTGAGCCTCCTGAACCATTCGAATACACTGAAGTTTAATTTTTCAAAGATGTTTAACGTTTAGTTAAATACAATTTTTTGTGTAGTCTTTATATATATACATATTTATAAAAAGATTCTAAATTAAACTGAACGAAATCTTTTTCACTTATTTATGTTCCATGATGAGCGCCGTCAAAACATTCATCAACTTAATGACTTTAAAAGAAAAATATTTGAAAAAAAGACTATCTTACTAATTATAAATCTTTTAAATTTTTATATTGAAAATTAATCTATTGGAAAATTGAAAAATGTGTTAATTTGGTTAATTGAAAATGAACCAGTATTGATCAGTAAAAAATATGTTGCTTTTGACTTTAAAATAATAAAGAATATCTTTAAATTTCTTGAAAATGCGCAATTTTTAAGAAATAAAGAACTTTATATCAAGTCATAGCATTTACACGGTGTTCCTAATAAATTATATAATTGTTTATTGTGAAAACGGAAGTGTCAAAACAAATTGACAATTCGTTTTGATTCCTTTGCTACTTGGTGCTTTAGCAATTGAGGTTTTTCTAATCCTAGTTTAAAAAAATGCTGTAAGGTTAATAATGTTAAAGGTGAATTTATATTTATTGGACGCGCTATTTTTTTTTGGTTATTTTTGGGTTTTTTTTTTTTACATACTTAACAAGGGCGGATGAAGCATTTCTTGCTGTTTGAGATAATGTAATGGAGCAAACTCAAATAATTTATATGTTTATACCTCATCAAATGTCAAAATAAGATGCTTAACAAAAAATTGCGAATATTGGAATCGGGGATAAAAAAAATGCTGCATCCGCCCCTGCTTTAGTACTCCTTTTATGTCTATTAGGGTGTGTCATTAAAAAAAATTGATTTCAAAAAAGTTATATTTAAAAAATATTAGGATTTTATATATAAATAAGAAAAATAACTTTAAGTTTTGTTGAATTTTAGCGCTAGCTACATTTTTCTTAATTTTTAATTTTACTCTTTATGACTATTCTACAAACTACTTGGTGAGCAGACACAGAAAAATGTTTAGCTGTTTTGAATAACTAGAGTCAAACAGTTTTATTTTTAATTTCTTTAAGTATTCTATTTATTGCGTAAGTCAAAAAAAAAAATTTGAAAAGTTCTGCTTATATGTGTTAAATATGTAAGAATATCATTATAAAAACCCTTATATTTTGTACAAAATACTTATTATTTTTTATTATTATTTATATAGTAATTTTTACAAAGTACGTTGTAGGGCTTTTTACACTTGAGGCGGTTTGGCACCCTATTGTTAGATAGTCCTATAATTTTGTAATTCTTATAACACGAGCTTTCTCATAAAATAAATTTATTTTAGGCACATATTTTTGTCTATAAAAATAAAAATTATTATGACAACTAATATTATTTTAAAAAAACACTACTATTTTATTAAACTATTAAGTAATCTATTGAATATTAAATTAAATATAATAATATAAAACATATAGGTTGAATATTAAATAATAAATATTAAATATAATAATGTAAAACATATAAGTTGAATATTAAAACAACAACAGAATGTTATACTTCTTATGCTTAACAAAAAATAATAATTAAAAAATCACTATATTATTTAAAGTATAGCTTAGAAGTTCCATCATGCCTTTCTTGCTCCTCTTAGCAAACATTAACTCTCTGCTAATGAATTGGGCTCTTATGTAAGCCTCTCTTCTTTCTGATGTGTGGACATGCCCTGCAGCTTCTGTGACAAGCTGTACACACTTCTCAACTGATTGTGTATGTGAACTCCCATTGGGTTATTAACTAAATCTTTAATATTGGAAGATGTAAAATTGCATGTCAAACGTGGTTCTGTTATATTATTGCTCCAGTCTATCAAACTAAAAAGATCTTTAGCATCAATGTTAATATCCGGTGTTCTTCGATGTCTATGGCTATAAACACAAGTATTAGTTTGCTCTTGATTTTTTTTACAACGCTTAAGAATAATTTCCACAGCTTGAACTCTTTCTAATTTACTCTCACTGCATATCATAGCTTGTAAAACAGCTTCTGAATATGCATACCAAGCTGATCTTTTAATTGTGGGCATTACAATTTCAAGAACTGGTTTCCTCTGGCTTCTGAGGAGTTCTAATTGGTATAAAACGTGTCTTCGTCCCTCAACTTAACATGATTCAAATTTTATGTTAAACCAGTATGGAATAAAAACACTTACAATAATATAAGATTTTGAAGGTTCGTGCCATATAGGCCATGCTGAAAAACCCATATCCTGCAAAATCTTAATGCTGTTATGAGCCACCTGCTATGGCAAACATGTCCTATCTCTAGCATTGCTAACTGCTGAGGTAAATCACCAGACCTTATTGCTTTTGTTATTCTGTAAGCATAGCTCTGATCAGAACTTAAACCTTTTATTACTTCAGGACTTAGAACAATTAATGCAGATCCAACATCAATTTTTGTAAATCTAAGATTAATTTCAAGACTTGTTGCTGTATTTAACATTTTCCCCAGTAGTCCTGACCACTTATTTCCACATTTTGTTGTGCCGTTTAAGCTTATAATTAAATGTATTAACCCTAACTCATTTGTGTGAAGATCGCACACAATCCACACTAATCTCTTTCTCAATTTTCTTTCCAACCATTGCATCACACCACCTTCCCAAATAGTATTTACATTTTTACTGTCTCCTCCTATAGCTTTAAATTCTTTTCCTAAATTTCTTTCGACCAAACAGTTAACCGAGTGGTCTGCAATTATCTCACCATGTTTTCTGTGATCAGTTTTTTAGGAACAAAATGAAACAGATACTTACCACTTGGTTCATTAACGACAGAACAATGTTTTTTATTAAGAAGACCATGGATATACCTACCATCAAATTCCGTTAATACTTTTGTATTATCTTTCCTGCCATCGAAAAAAATACAGGAAACCACATTATTTTCAAGATCTTTATTAAATTTACTATCTAATTCGAAAACTTCTTTTAACCTTGTTGTGATCAATAATCATCGATGTATCATTCTTTGTTATAATTTTTGCATCTATAAGTGCTACTGTTGCTATTTCTGCGGTTTCTCGTAAGCTAGTGTGATGCCTCATACTAGCAAGTGCAATGTTTGTTATGTCCATTCTGTTATAAACCTTTACAATATCATTGGAAGGTACTAGTTCTCCAGAAATGGTTCTGAGTCAACTTTGTTTTTTCAATCTAAAAACATTAATACAAGATTTAAACTTTGTGTTATTAAGAAAAATCTAAAGAGTAAAAAAAAAAAATTTGAGATATTTTTATAAATCACCTTATCAACATTTATTTTCTTTAAAAATATTTATATTAGAATTATTTACTAACAAACATATTTTATTATTACTTGATTAATCTGTGCAAGGCAATTATAATCTTCTGGAATCATTTGGTTGAATTTTTCTTCTTTTTTAAATTTTTAAACTGTTTCCCACAGATACTTCAGTTTAGCTTTAATATTACATTCTTTTATTATTACTGGATGAAAAAACTTGCAATTAGCTTTTTTTCCATTAAGCAGATAAAACAAGAGTCATATCATTAACTAGTTTATCGACAGTATAGTTTCTTTTATTAAGGTCACTGGTCTCTTAAAAATTGATTTTTAGTGCCATTATTTTTATTAAAATATAATTTTTCAATAATCCAAATAGTTTTATTTTTAATTTATTTTTATTAAGCTAAGCGTTTAAGTTTTGAAAATATAATAGGTCCGAAATAAATTTCCTCTACTTAAAGTTAAATTTTTAGAAACAAAATACGTTTTAAACGAAATACATCATTGTTTTAACGATTTTCAAAATATTAGCAAATTAAATACATAAAAACCCAAAAAAATGTATCTACCGCTTAGTTAATTAATTTTTTAAAGTATTACTCCATTTCATTTATGAAATTCTACCGTAATTTCACTATAAAATTTTTTTTTTGAAAATTTTGAGTTTTAGTCATCAAATTGACACACCCTAATGTCTATATTAAATACTACATAAAAGTGGTGTTGATTATTAAATTCTGAGGTTTGTATGTGTTTATTATATGCCACATATAAAAAATGAGGGATATTATATTCTGAGGTATATATCTGCATAATTTAGTCAGATGCGATTCTACAAATAAAATGAGGGAGGGGGGGGGGTGAATCCTCAAAAAGTATACCGACGAGCTTCTTTTTTTTTTTTTTTTTAAAAAAAAATCGTCAAAACGAAAATTTAACCGACTGAATTGTGTTTAAAAACTGCTGACCAGCCGACTAAAGTAGTAAAAAACCCGACTATAACTTGAAAATCACCTTTTGGGGGGGGGGGGGGAAGGGTAATACCTCCCCATTCCCCTTCCCCTAAAAAATTGCATCTGACTATAGTATTTAATTTTAATTTGATTTTATGTCACAAAGGTTATTAGTCTAAAAAAAAGTGGGTTGTCTATTTTTAAATTGAAAAAAACAACCTTAAATAAATATTTTTGTTTACCAACAATTTATATTTTTAATAATTTTTGGTTACAAGCAATTTTATAAATAATTCAAAATTTTAGTATTTTTGGATTCAAATGATTTTACACTGAAATAAATTTAAGTTAACTGTTAAAATAAATATAATGTTCGATAATAATCGTAAATAAATATTTTGATATAAAAATATAATTTCTTCATCGTTGAGCCTTGGCTGTAAAATATAATTTCACACTCTTCATCGTTAAGCCTTGGCTGTATAAATAATAGTTATTAATATAACAACTATTTTTTTTTTTTTATAACTGAAATTCAAATCACTTAAATTATTAAAATAGGGAAAAACGCTAGTAACTACCCTTGGAGCGACTATTTAGCAATTCTATAACCACCCTCGAAGCAGCTATTCAGCAATCTTGCACTTACCTTTAAAGCGACAGTTTAGTAATCCTGTAACTACCTTCGAAGCGACTATGTAGAAATCCTGTGGATAATGAAAAATTAGGATTCAAAATAGAACTTTTCTCTAGTTCTTTCTTATTGAAAGGAAAGTTAAAATATAAATATTAAGACAATAATACAATTCGTTGAGAGCTACTTACCGTTTAGATATGTAGCTATTGACACATA